TTTTGATCAACCCTCAAATAAGCGACGCTTCGCCAGAATTCAAGATTCCATTTTTGGCCATTTGGAGGCCAATTGGGCACCCCACACGCTTCAAATGCGGAACATCTCACACAACACTGGATGAAATAAATCCTTGTAGAACGATGGCCGCACATGTTGGCAGCAGGGATAGTCATCGCATATGGCCAAACATGTAGGGCCTGGACTTCTAAACAATACGACCATGCAAACAAAACACCGAAATTGTGACTAAACAAACGAAACGAAGAAGAGGACGTCGCCGAGAATGAAAAGAAGAAGAAGAAGAAGAGTTCAATCTTGACTTGGGGTGTTTTGCAAAACTTAAAAAAGAAGAAAACGTCTGGAAACCACCAAAAACCACCAAAAACCACCAAAAACCACCAAAAACCACCAAAAACTCGTAAGACCGCCAAAAACCCATGGCTGCGAATGCCATGAAACCTGCGCCGCGCCCTGCGCCGAGCGATGCCGACCTGGGCTTCGTAAGCTCCAGGGTCCAGGCCAAGGCCTCCAGCTCCTGGGCTTAGCGAAAGACATCGCCAGCCGGAAGCTCCGATCCTGTGGAACCACGTCTTCCAGATCCATTCGGAAACTTCCATCTTAGTCGTCTGGAAAAAGGGTGTCCCCCCGTTGAAAGGTGGTGGTTACATGTCTTTTTAAACAAAAAAGCAAGCAAGAGCAAACCGGAAAAAAAAGGAAAGTAGTCTTTTTGTAAAGCAAGCAAGAGCAAACCTCCGGAGAAGAACTTGAGAAAGCGCTATTTTGAAGGCGGTGTGCATGACATGAACTGAATTTCACTCTGAAATCCCGTTGCATGATTCGCGATCAAAGGAATCCTCCAAAACTTGTCGAACTTCAAAGGAATCCCCCACAAAAAGCTATGATTCCCCACCGACGTTCGGCCGGCTTTTCCGCGATGTCCGGGCATACGGATCCGTCCCCGGGGTTCACGGGTTGCGCCCAGCAAAAATCTGAGTGCGAAACGTGTCTCCTGGCCCCGTTCGATCTTTGAGGTGGGAACGTTTTGGACATCCGAAATACCACGGGGATCGATCGGTCCATCGGTGTGTCACTAGAACCCCGGGTGATCGAAATCCGCCGAAAATTTGTGTCCAAATGAAAAGCTCATGTGGATGTGCGGCATGAGTTTGCCGCCTTTCGAGAATCCCTTGGAAAGCCACTGGTTTCTTGAGATGCCCGGGTTTGTGCATGTCAAGATGATTGATCACTTTTTGCCCAATGGCATTGGGGTCCTCTTGCGAAAGCAAACCCGAACACCCACGTGGGTGGTTCCACATCTTCACCAATGGCTGAGAAAAGCTGACAGCATCCCGGCTCTGGCCCTGCTTGCTTGGGAACGTCCCCTCTTAGCCGTCAGTTACGAAGGTTTCAGTCGCACTTCCTGACGTTGCCCAGCCAAAATGGCTGTGCCAGAAAGGTATGCAGTCCACAAAATAAAGTCGTCATCGTCGTCATCAAGAACCGGATTTGTGGTAGAGAACTTTGAAAAGAGACGCGCTTATGGAGGCACTGCCGGCAACCTTGCACTACCGGGGAAGTCTTGCAAATGTTTAATTCCCACCAAAGTGGTGTTCCCAGAAGTATCAAGTCCGTGAGTTGGGGGAGGGATTGGATTCCTCGAGATTTCCCGCATCCAGTCTCACTAAAAGCTTCCTCGGGCCTCAGGTATTTTCGCCCCACAAATCACAGGGCCAACTGCCTGTTCCATTTGAGTCGCAATCAAAACCTGGTACTAAAAAGGTCTGCCCAGAACCATGTATAGGATTAAGAAGGCGGTCGCAGCTATTTATGGTTGGGATCATCCCTTACTAACCTTCATCTACCCGGGCTTTGATTGTGGCTCATTTGACTTCCCTTTCACTGCAATCAGGGGTTGGTTGCTTCAAATTCCGCCCACGCCCATTTCGCAAAAAAAAAGAAGCTCCTCCGCCAGCAGCGGCGCAGAGCGCGCCAAATGTGCCGCGCAGGCCCCCGGCACGAAAGGCTCCGACAAGGTGCCTGCTGCAGTGTCTTGAAGTTAAATTTTGGGGGCAAAAAAAGAGACACCAAAGGGCAACCAAAGTCGCCTTGTTGACAAGGCTAGGTTGTGAAGACTCCAAGGGACACGAAGGCTGCACACCAGAATCAGAAACATTCAGAAACTCCTCATGGTCAACCAAAGGCAACTTGCAATGGCATAGAACAAAGCGAAACCAGTAATGACCAATAAGAACGACGTAATTTTGCCCGTAAGTGCACACTGCAGTGGGCATCTCCGGAAAGTTACCTTTGACGAAGACGTGCTCCCAGGAACTCGCAAGCCATGAATGCACTCGGCCATCAGGATCCCGAAGCGGGAATTCGTAGGTTGTGTGCTGCAATCCCTTGGGTGAGACATCGTTCGGGTGCCCCAGCCGTCCCACTGCAAGTCCAACGCAGCCGAGTGGCCGTCCTCCGGAATCGTCCTTGCCAGCTCAGCCTTGCATCGGAACCCAAGCCGCACGCTACGTTTGGAGAACAGGGTGGCCATGACAGCTGTGTCCCTGCCTGAGACGGGCTGATACCCTTGGGGTTGGCTTCAACCCGGGGTTCCCCTATTTGAGACACACCAAAAGGCAAGTTCGAACGAGTTCGATGGATTGCTGAAGCCCTCACTCACAAGAGGGTACCTCCCCTTAATGCAAACATCGTCTTATGGTCGATGCTCTGCTCACATCGGCTGACAAAGTCAGCAAACCGACTCACGTGAAACCGCTACCAGACCAAATTACGGGCACATCTCAAACTAAGGGAGCCCCAGTAGCTTCCCGCTGGGCTTCCTTCAAAAAAGACAAGAGCAGGTCCCAATAGGACCAACTCCAAACTTGGGGACTTACCAAGTGCACTTCCAATGCACTGCCCGTCCTATTCTAGACCAGTGCTGTCAGCCGACGTTTAAAGCCCAGCTTGTTGAGCCTTTTAAGCGGCTTTTAAGAGGCTTCAAATCAATTTGAGCCTTTGGATCTTCCTGATTTATTTGTTTTATGTGTTCAATGCGCGTGATTTGCATCTTGCATTGGCACGGCCTTTTTGTGTCAGCAATGTGGCTGGGCTCCTCGAGTCCGGCGTGGAACCAGGACACGGAGGGTGTTGCATGCCCGACAGGCTTGGGTCAAGCCCAGTAGCAAGGGAAGCGAGTGGCAAACACGACAAGGAGGACAATCTCCACATACTATGCTTGGGTGCTGTAGATCCCCCAGCAAAAAGTTAAACTTTTTGCTGGTTAAAAAGGAAATATGAGGGGAATCCAAAAAGTTAAAGTCTAAAGATCCAACCCAATAGCAGTAGAGTATGAACACCTCACTCTCCCTGAGCCCCGACAAGCCTACTCCGCTGCAGGTTCTACAAGCTTGACCCGTATTGAGATTAACGGCAGGTCAGTTGGTTCCTTTACTGCACACATCAAGACTCACCTCTATGCATCTCTAAAACACGATCAACAACACGCGCTTCTGGGCGCGGCCCATTCACCCCTTCCCCGGCGAGGTCGTTTCACTGACTCACCTCAACCACTGATAAAGACCCCTCCCCCATTTGTTGGTCAGAAGGGCCATTTTCGTGAGGATTCCTTTCTGTCAGTGGGGGGAACCCTGCTGAGTTACAACTGCTGGATCCCTTATAAGTCCCCTTAAACATCACCCCGCAAGGAAACTCAATCACAGTCCGAAAAAGTGTTTGTTTTTCCTATACCAAGTTACTTCCTTTCAGGGAGATTTCCATCTTGCTGGTGCTCAGCAGGAAAGAGAAATGGAGTGACCCCTATGAAAAATCCAACTGGTGGTTTCCCTTAAGGGGACCCCAAAACGGTTCATTCCCTCATCCCCTCTCGCAGCAGCAAATCTAGCCCAGTGAATGCTCCGGGGTTCACATGGAGTTCAATCGCTCCCACCTGGGCGCCAGAGCCCAGTCTTCCAGCCAGCCTTCACCGCCGTCGCCTTTCAGCGCACGCTCCTCGATCCGAGGCAGCCGCGATCGAAGGGTCAAAGGCCGAGACGCAGTCGTCAAGGGCTCTGCCATGTGCAAAGGAGCGATGCACCGACTGTTGACTGGGTTCCCAGTGTCCCCCTATCAGCTAGCTTTGGGTTGCAGGGTTGAAGATTCGTGGTTCAGGGTTTCTGCGGGGCCAGTCTTGACCAGCCCCACACCAAACCGCAAGAATCCTAAATCAACTCAAACCACTCTAAAGTGTATGAGATCCGGATTGCATATTTACCCATATACCTGCCCGTTTGCACTGCACATTACGCAGAATCGCACTGGCTGATTAGATCATTGGAACGTTGGTTTCCTTGCCTTCGGGTGAGGTCATCAAACAGCTGTTCTCTAGTGACAGAGAGACAAGTCGGAGTTGTGCTCTCAGGATGTATCTAATGACTCGCGTTCTTTCCTTGACAAGCACGGACTGCCATTGCAAGCGGACAATCATGATGCTCATCCCCTTCTGACACCTAGAACCACCTACCACTGATACCGACTCAGACCCCTTCTGACGCCTAGTACCTGCCAAAGTCGCCAGGCGCTCACGTAACACTTGGCGCGAGTCGCCACCGCTCAGCCACTCCCAGCAGCTGAGGCTGCTGCCAAAAGCCAGGGCCTGGCCTCGAAGAAGCACTCACCACGGCTCTTTGGTGTCTTTATCTCAAAGTGCCTACTCCCCCAGACTAACATGGAAGCTCCCACCCCTTCAAAACAAAGAAACTTCTGGTCACCGAGTTGCCTTTTGCAATCCAATCTGGGTGAATTGTAATATTTCACCAACCTGAAATAAGGTGCTTGGCTATTCCCCACATAAACCACCATTTGGGGTGAATTCGGTCGTGTGAGGTCGCTACAATTCACCCAGATCCAATGCATTCGCTTCTCACTCGCGAGAAACCAAGCCCATCCGCCAATCCCCCCCCTCCGCTGCCCCCCGCTGCCCCCCGCCCCGCCCGCGCGCCTCAATCGGCAAATGCTCCAAGTCGAGCGGGTGCAGCATCAAGAAAGCTGCCAGCCTTCGGGAAGCGACAAAACATGTGTCTTGGTGCCTGACTTGAATCCATGTTCTTGTTCGTCCCCTGGAAAAGAAGAAAATAAAAATTATGGAGTGATAGATTCCCTTTCAAATCAACAGGAAAAAACACAGTATTCTTAACCAACTGGAAGTAACGCGGCAAGACTGGCTGATGTGTGGGTGCCTATTAAGCATACTTGTATATTCAGCAGGACAAGGAGTCCGATGAACATGGTTCAAAACGTCAATACCAACGTTGCCAAGTGATTCACAGGTTCCAGTTGTCTGTCATCTTGGCCCGGGCACTGTCACTGGAGGCTTGTGGCTCATTCGGCCCCGTTTTGCAGTGCAAATGGGTCTTCTTGTTCTTCGGGCGGGCGAACATCGAGGCAAAGGGCAAGCACACGCACACAAATGCGCAATCATTCAAGATGCATTGTCTCTGAGCGAATTGTAAGTGAACTTGGCGGCAGTGCTAACTTCATGTAAAAGACTATGGGCAAAAGCATGCCTCCCCCGATTCTTAACAAGACCGACCAACATCCATCGTCAGAATTGTCAAAGGCGACAAGAAATGGGGATGTGTGAAAACTGGGTATCCCCTTCCCCCTTTTTGGTCCATATTGAAACGAAACCAACATGGAAGCGGCCAGTTGGAGGTATCCCCAGTCGCACCAAAGCCTCAAAGAAACCCGAGGCGCAGGCTCTTGCAGTCGCGCATCCATGGCATCCGCAGGCCCTCCTCACATCCGGCGTTCAGACGAAGAACATCTCGCATGTGGGTGTGGCTCAAAATTAAAGAGCCAGGGTTACGCAGTTGTCCAGTCCTTTTTCTTTCCATTTACCAAAGTGTCATGTTGGTACATTTATTTGAGCCACAGCCATGTGAGCTCTGGTCCTAATAAAAGATAAAAATAAAACTGTAGTATGAGATAAATGAGCACCAGAGTCGAAGCAAAAAGAAACATACATGCACACACACGCACACGCACACGCACACGCACACGCACACGCACACGCACACGCACACGCACACGCACACGCACACGCACACGCACACGCACACGCACACGCACACGCACACGCACACGCACACGCACACGCACACACACGCACACGCACACACACACACACACACACACACACACACACACACACACACACACACACACACACACACACACACACACACACACACACGCACAAGATGCTCACACAGTGAGAATTGGAAAAGCAAGCATGCACTTGCCCAGATTGGCTGCATTTGTTCACCTTGACAGTCGTTGTGGCCTGAAACGAGCTTTCCCAGTGTTTGGGTTGACGGCGCACTAAAACCAAACACGAGCGCTGAACCAGTGCATGCCATCAGAAAGCACAACTCTGAGACGCCCAACTCGAACTTCGAATCCTTGCCCTGCGTGCCTTGCGCTCGCTGTAGCCACCCAGGCACATTGCCTGCAAACATCTGTATGTGCGCTTGTCCCCAATCGCAGCTGGTCCAGCTGTTGCTGTGACATCAAATGCAGTCTGGGCGGCCCTCAGATCCCCCGCTAAAAGTTAAACCTTTTAGTCGTTTAAATGGAAGCTACCACTAAACACTAAAAGGCTAAAAAGCTAAGGACACGGATGGCTGGCTATGAGCCACCAAGCAGTGTGGCGCCCTCTGGCAAACCGGTCCGAAGTGGACCTCTGGTCATATCCACAGCCCAGCAAAGTCCGCAAACTTGCGAACCTTGGCGTATTCATCTCAGTTGTTCAGTGACCCTGAAAAAAAAGAGAACGCAATTTTTGGGAGGTCATCTATGAGGCCTATTCATCTTCTGCGCAACCCTCTGCCCCGTCATGAAATCTGCCACAACCACTCAAGAAACGGAGGTTTTTCTCCACAAAGGCTATACACGCGTTGTGCACTGATGTCACTGGCCCTATGGACCAATGAAAAATCCTCCCCGCACCTGGGACGCTAACTAGAGCCATTAAAACGGGCCAGTGAAACGCCCAGCATTGCCATTGAGTATCACTTCATCGCCTTCATGGCCTTCATGGCTTTCATCGCCTTCATGGCCTTCATGGCCTTCATCGCCTTCATTGACTTCATGGCCTTCATTGACTTCATGGCCTTCATCGACTTCATGACCGGCGCCTCCTCATCGTCGGCAGCCTTCATGGCTTTCATCGACTTCATTGCTTTCATCGATTTCATGGCCTTCATCGACTTCATCGCTTTCATCGCCTGCACACTGCGCACCATTGCATTCACATGTTGTTTCAATCCAGGACTATAGTGATTCTGCGCCACTCTGCCCGGAATGCTCCACATCATCAATGAAGCAATAGTACAAACCAAGACTGACCCTACTCAAGCCAAACAAGCAAACCTCGCACCCAGGCTACAGCCCCTATATACCTATACACTATTCTTTAGGTGGCCGGTGGATATGCATGAAGCACAAAACCAACAGGCCGCCACATGCAACGACCTACGCAGAATCAGGATAAACGCCTTCATCGCTTTCATAGCCTTCATGGCCTTCATCGCCTTCATGGCCTTCATGGCCTTCATCGCTTTCATGATAGCCATGATGCAATCTCCGGCACAAACCCGCTGGCAAGTGCGTCTCTTGGGAGGCTTGAGCCAGCATGTTGCAAATGCAACACGGTCCAGCTGCCAGGATGTCGCTCGCTCTGCGCGTGTGGCTGCCTTCCAGTGAACTCGCAGAAGCCATGGGCTGCAGGCAACTTTGCACCTGAGAAGCACGTCGCGCCTTTGTGCCCTTCCGCAAAATGAGCGAAGCACTCGGGAACTGACCCCCCTTGCGTCACTTGGGCGTGGGTCAAAATTCAACCACTAGGGTATTGTTGACCCACTGCCACTTCAACAGGTGCCCCGTTCAGAGGGCCTCTCGCTGTTCCATCACTGCCAAACCCAAGGTCTGGCCTGAGTTCTGAAACTGGAAATTGCACAAGTCTCAGCGGCACGCTCTTTATGCTCCGTACGGGAAGAAGTTTTAAAAAAAGAAGCCCCCCGCACATGCGCAGAAAAAACAACACCTGCAAAAGAAAACCCGGTCCCCCCCAAACCATCTCTGGGCCAGGGCCATTTCATCTGGAATCCGGCTTCAGGCTCGGGCCTCGCCGGGGCCCGGCCGCGTCTTCGCTTCCTCGGGCCGTTGGAAAAAACCCGGGACCAAGGATCTTCCTAGGGAAACCCGGGGAATTTCTAGGGGTACCTTCCCCATTCTTTCCAGGGATCCTTCCTTTCAACAAACCATCAAAACCCCAGAAAAAATGGCCGTCTTCTTTTTTTTCGTTTATAATGATGGTTGAAAAGAACCCGAAATAGCGCCACGGTCTTCCTTTTGGCTTCCCTGAAAAAAAGAGCGGCACACAAATGTGTGAGAAGGGAAATTCATGGATGTGGGCCCTTATCCTTTCAGGCAGTGCCGTCGCCGGTTCCAGTACACCCGGTTCACCCGATGCTTTGCCGCTATGGAGTGGGAGGAGAGGTTTCCAGGGGCAATCGGTCATGTGGCTGTGGGTCAAAACGGGTACCCAAAATGGAACCCTGGTAAATGGAACCAAGGACTAAAACCTGCGGTTTTTGTGGTGGTCAAAATTTTGACCCATACCCATGTGGCAATGGGTCATGTGGGTCATGCGGTCATGGGGCAATGGATCATTTGTACGGCTGAAGCTGGCGGCCAACACTTGACAAGCCTTGGCTCAGCCACCATTTGTCTCACCATGGCCACTCTCTTGGGGGGGGGGTGAAGCGAAATGTTTTTTTTTTGCGGGGAAGGAGGGCGGAGCTGCAAAAAGACGCCCCGTGACGACTTTTTTTGACCCCTGAACTCGCCAAGAAAGGTACTGAAAAGCGTCCACTGGGGAAACGGGGCAGAAAACCGCTTCAGGTGTGCGGATTGGGGAAGTTTCAACTTGGGTCCATTGCTCTTCTCTCTCATCCGAGGCCGGCTTTGAGGAGATAAGGGCGAAAGCAGGCTGAATAGAGAACAAATAGCAAGCTCTTATGTTGAGCAGTCCTGAACGGGCCAAGTACAGCCCATACTTCCTTGTTTGATAGATATGTGGCTTTCATTGCAGGTGAAGTATGAAAGTAGGATCATAGGTGGCCTTTTGGAAAAATAGATGGCCCTGGTAAACGGAATAGCACCCATCTTCACCAGTGCCATCCTGTTTTGGCCAAACAAACCTACAAAGGACACCTATGGGTAGGATGCTTCATACTGCATACTTCATACCCTTTGGAATCCATTCCCGTCTCTCGCATGTGTGCCCGACGGCGAGCTCGGCAAGCCTAGCCGACGCGCGAAAACTGAACGAGGAAGAGAGGCTGGCTGGCGTTTTGGAGGGTAGCCTTTGCAGGTTGGTCCAAAAGAAAACCACGAGGAGAATCAATCATTTGTTGTGATTTGTTGGGTCCCCCAATTGTTTGACACTTTTGGCTTCTTGGGAGTTCCATGCCGGAAGAGAATGCGAGAGCGGCGACATGGCAAGGCTAGCTAGATGCTGGATGCCATGCTCAACTTTGCTTGATTCGAAGAAAGGTTGCCAGGCTGCCTGGCTCCGCATGTGTCCAAAAGACTATCAAGCAGGGTTCATCTGACAACAATCGACTAGTTCCCGAACATTCCTCTCGGCATGACCGGTGTGGACTTTCCCAAATTCAAGGATCAAGACCTGGCATGCATGGATGACTTCTCTATGTCGCCTGATAACACAGAGATTGTCCTCCATTTAAAAGAAAAGCCCCTCCTTGAAGGGTTGGGCCCACTACTGTCCGCCAGCAACATGTGCCAAGTTGAACTGCCAAGTTGCTTGTGATTCCCCGCATCAAGTTTGCACATGACGCGTTGCCCAAGTACAATCGTCCGTGGTCGATATCCAGTTACACTCAGTTAATGGGCAAGAAACACTAGTATGTTCGATCAGCAGGGATCACACAGAGATACCCAAAACCTCGCAGCCAACTCACGCAGCCAACTCACGCTGTTGCGCTTATGGGAAAGGGCATGCAGTCTGCACTCAGAGGCTACAGCGAATCATCCTCACCGTACTGAGATGGGGGTTGATTAAAAAGGTCCGGAAGACATGGGGTGACCATTAGGGAAACCACGAAAAGGATGACTTTCACCACACACATAGACCTGGTGCAGCAAACAGCCAGTGCGTCTGGAAGAATTGTGCCAAAACCTTCGTGCTCCAAATGTTCTACATGAGATGGGGGTTGATCAATATTCCTGCACCCAAAATGACCATGAGCAACTTTTTTCCCGTGAAAGTGTTCTGAGAATCCTTATGATAGGAATATCTCTCGGGAAGCGTGTGAACACACCAGTTCAATAGTTGCAACACAGCACCACTCCGCGCCTCTTTTGAGCCTCAGATTTGCAGAGTGTTTCTCTTGCGAAGCCGATACTCCCCCGTTAAGACCGTTTCGTATCCTGTTTTGCGGCGCCTGCTTTGAGGTGGGGTGGGTCCGTTTCGGCGCTCAAAACGTTGCACCTCGAGGCAGGCAGCCAGTTCCCGGAATCTGACCTCACAAGGAGCAAAGTCGTCAAGCCACTGCCCAAGTCACCCAGTGACCTGGGTAGAACACGGGAACCCCTTTTTAGCCTGGCTAGTCTGGTAAGGAGAATCAAGGTTCGGGGTTAGGAGGGCTTGTGCTTTTTAGCAGCTGGCCATCTTTCTGCGGAGCCCCGGCGATTGGGGCAGAGCCCACACCCCATCCTACTTTATGGATTCATTGTCCAGCAAGTCTACATGCCATACAGTGGGCCAAAGAATTCTGAACGTTCCTTGCACAAAGCAAATGCTTGCAAAGCAAAGACATTCACGGCATCGATTTGTCAACTGGCAAAATGGTCACCGCCTCTTGAGTCCCGATGGATCCTCTTGAGTCCCGATGTTGCTTCGGGTGCATTCAGTTCCAAAGGATGCCGGCTGATATCAAGCAGACAGGCACGCGCAAGCTGAAACAGCCCCAAAACATCAAGCTTTAAGCCCCAACCCCAACTGAAAACCAAAGAAACCAAGTTAAAAGAACATCAAAGGCAAACCAAACCGAAACCAAGGGACACCAAGGGGGAGCCAAACCAAAACCCAGGCCCTACGAGCCCTCCCTGCAGGCGCCAAGTGCGGAGCTCTGGCTCCCTGGCGAGGCGGAACCGAACGAAGCTACCCTCACCGGTCCCATTTGCTGCATGAGTCAAGTGGAGTCTGTAAATGAGCACCATGCATGTGTATGCCTGAGTGGCATCTGAATCAGGCACTGAAAGCGTAAATTGAAGTAAGTGCGCCTCTGGGACTCTGGAAAGGAATTGCCACCATGCATGTGTAGTAACTGTGCCTTGCCTCCTTGTGAGGTCAGTCTCATTCGCCTAGTGTTGCGAGTTACATCTGGCACCTTGAAACCTGTCAAACAAGGATCGCCAAACCTCAACCACTGAAGAATCCAAGCCTGTTTTGTCCAGAGAACGAGGTCAATGCCTGCCCTAAGGGCAATGGCACATGATATCCCTGCGGCATCTGGGGGACAGAATCTGCACCCATCCAATATTCGCTACGGCTACCACAAGCACCACTCATTGTGCCGACTTCGAGGACGGAAAGCATCTGAAAGCTGCGAGGACCTTGGCACCCGCTTGCGGCATCTCCGCCCGCGCCGGGCGGGGAAATCAGTGAAGAAAGTCATGGGAACGTCCCTGGCAACCAACAAGAAAGACTGCCCTGCGAGTTGGTCACAAATTCGGCATTCGGCATGGAGCCTCTGGTGAAGAGGGGATCAATTTGCAGAGTGCCTTGCAACACCCATTGCGCTGGAGAGACTGAGCATTTTCAAGCCAGTCATGAGTGCCATTGGCAGAAGCCAACAGTCCGGCAGGTGGGCCCCAAATTCTTAGGGCTGTATTATGTTCGCTCGAGGTCCCACAGTAAAGTTGACAAGACATGGACGCAACATCCCACAAGATCTCGGAAGTAGACAGTGCATGACAGGAATCGCTGGGCATATGTCTCCATGAACTGCACGTCCCGAATGGCTCAGAAGCCATGAGGCCCGTGGAGCTCTCGCAACAGGCAACAGGCGGGGGCCCAAAAAATGTCGATGTGTCCGGCCAGAACATGACGAGGGTCGCGTCAGCTTCGCGGAAGCTCGCAGTCTGGCCACACGGTCGTATGCACAGTCGACTTTAAGACATGAGCAATGGTCAATACTCGCCATCATCTACGTAAGGGAACACAATACGTATTGACAGTGGCTCACATGGACATGATCTTGCAAATTCGGATCTCGGCAAATGTAGACAGCATACATTGCTGTTTGTTGCCCATCTGTTGAACCTGCCCGCGCGGACCGCTGCAGGTCTCCTGCTTGACCCGCATTTCCTGCAGCCGAATGGCACTGCCACTTCTGAAGCTGACTGGGCCTGCTCCTGGCCGAATCGCAATTTCGGCCGTGAAGACGGCGAAGACGGGCAGCAAGTTTGAAGTCCAGAGCTTCAGCTCAAGTGAGTCTCAAAATGGTCAGAAGGCTTTGATAGAACCCAAGGAAGTTAGTTCGGAAGTGTCACCTTCAGCCATTCTTTTGTCTGGACCGCTGCTGGTTGGCGCCATGAGCAACCAGCAGTCCGGCAAGGAACAAATATTCCTGCACCCGTTGAGAACACATTCAAACTCAGGTGTGTTTTCACACACGCACGCACAAACTCTTGCATCCAAGCTGCACTGTCACTCTCCAAAGGAATTTCGCTCACTGCCTTCTGATGTAGGAATTGGTCACCAAAGGATCATCGCAAAAACACGTGCCACCTCAGAACAAGCCGCATCAGTGGAGGAGTTGGCTGTTTGAAGGCGGTCCTGATTTAGACAGACGGACAAACTCCAGCTCCGATCATGACCACTTTGACCAGTCAGTCAAATGAGTCCAACCATCACAGAGGGCAAAGTTGGACCCAAGTTTCGGGTCCGAAGGAACTCCAAAGGCCCGTGCTTCTGGACGGTTTTCTCACGCAGCCAACGACTTTGGCCCTGCCTTTTGTGCACCGATCGCTCTGCGTTGGAATGGGGGCCGGCCTTCCTCAACTTCGCAAGCGTCTACTACAACGGTGTTTCTTGCTGCTCAAATTAATTTATGCTCGGATGCGCTTGATTTGGGCACGTTTGTCTGAGACAAGAGCGTTTTGTGCGGGTGGAACGGCAAACAGCAGAGGAAGAGCATGCTGCGAACATGTTGGAGCTCTTGGCTTCCCAGGCATGCAGAACGTACCTCTGCAAAGCATGTAAGGTCCGCGCTTCCAGGACCAGCTTGCTGTCCGGAAGCTCCACGGCCCACGCTCGGCTCACACGCGCGGATGGCAATGGCAAGCGGGCAACGCGCTCGCGAGCTCGACGAGGGCAAAGGGCGAGAGCTGGCCCAAGCTACGGGAGTCGGGAGCTGAAGCACCGAAGGCCACGCGAGTTTGTGGCTTCCGCGTGCTGAACGCCGGCGCAAGACGCCGAGTCCGCAAGCTGGACACCAAAGCTATATGCCGCGCTTGATACGATCAAGCTTCCCATGGGATCGGTGAGCTGCCCTCAAAGCGCGCCCTAGGACTAGCTCCAAATTCCAGCCTGCGGGTTTGGGCGCTTTAGTCAAAGGGCCAACTTGGGCCCATAGATTGAGCAGCCAACGGGAGCACGTCTAAAGTCTCCGGTCAGGGCCAAGTGGGTGAAATACAACCAGGCTGCAATGTTGCTGCAGAAGGTTCATTCTCCAAAACGGGGCAAACACACAGTGGAAGCGGCTGGGGCCTGTCTGCCAATTTGAAATGGTTCACCGCTGCAAAATGCCCTCCGAACTTTTGAACGGCTTTGACAAGGTGCGTCCGAATCAAGGTGAGTATTAATTTTGCGCCTCTCGAACATGGACTGACACTTGGGAGTTCGCTTCAAGAAAGACTTGGCCTGAGACCCGATTGGATCCAGCTGAGTCAACTGCACACACAAGACAAGCTGCCGGTGTTGTGCGACGCGACCTGACACTGACAGCCTCCTTGCGAAGCACGTTGGCTGGAATTTCATCTTGTGGCTAACGCAAGCCGAGCTTCACCATCCTATGAGGCTAATCTTCTATGAATCAACTGGCTTGGCCCTGTCTGTGCCATGAAGCACAAATTTGGGATTTGGAATCCCCGTTGACTTGCAGCGCATGCCAACACAGTGAATGCTGAGCTGGCATCTTGTCTCAAAAATCCTCAAGCCAACATAACCAGTGACACATCACAAGTCTGAAATTTGCCAGAATACTCTGGGCACGCAGCCCAAGCACCTGTGCTCTGGACATCTGACATCCTGACACAACAAATGTTGGGCCATCTGATGTCCTGAAACTTATCTGTGTGCAAAATGACGTATATGCACCTTCTGCAGCGCAAGCGTTCAGAGGGCCACCTGGCCCTGGACGCGATCAACGCCATTCTGCCCAGCAAAGCAAACCACCGGGAGAAGTGATGGCTTGAGCTGAAGGCCTCTCCAGCCCCTGGAGACACGGTCGCAGAGGGACTGGAGCTTTCCAAAAGGCCCAAGGGCTGCATTTAGCTCGGCACCACGTGCTCTGGGATGTGTGAAGGCGCGAATCGTCGCAAACAAGTCCTGACATGGAACCAAAGGCAAAGCCTTGGCGAGCGCTGGTTGGCGAGAACATCTTCCAGCTGCCCTCTGCGTTGCAAAGCACACTGACACTGGCTGCCACGAGGTGCTGAGTCCAAGTTTCGACAGGTCGCATCACACTAAGCTCAAGCCTGGTCAACTTGAGGCGTTTTCTCACGCGTCAAATCTGTGGAGCAGCCGCCTCGAGCAAGAAGCCCTGAGAGCAAGTTTCAAGGACACTCTGACGCTGTGTATCGTGTTCAACTCAGCTGCGAGCGCGTCCCAAGGACAGCGGCAGTGCCCGGGACTTGCCACTCGCAGTCTGAAGCTGATGCCGAAAAGTTCTCGCGCCGAGCTGGTTGGGTAAGACAGCTGTGCCCTTTCCCTAAGCAAGGGCATGAGGATCCTTGCGCTAACTAAACGTCATCTGACACTCCTCCTGCAAGCCTGAACATATTCATTCCAAGTGGGTCTCAGAGCCAGCAGCTGGGAGATGGGACGGCAGGCTGAAAGCTTGGCCGGACACTCGCACAGCGCGTACTTCGCAAAGTACTCATGGTCAGGTCGATGGGGCCCACCAGTTTTTCTAATGATAAAGTCAGTGCACAGCACTGTCATCGCAGCCTGTAGGCAAATTCAAGCTGCAGCTGAGGCTTTCTGACGTCCAAAGGACACTCCTCAAAGCCAACACAAAGTTCCTGCAAGCAACCTGCATTGAGGCGTGAAACCCGGGTAAGAATATGGGCTGCTGAGGTGCGCGAGTGCTAAGACGCGTCTCAGCCTGGATAGCTTGCCTGAAAGCCAACACAAATCCGTTCCATGCAACCTATATCGAGACATGAAGCCTCGGAAGAACATGGGATGAGGCGTGCGACTGAGATGAGTGAGTGTGGGTGAGTGTCAGCCTTGATAGCTGCTTGGCTGGCGGCAAGGCACAAGACTTAAATGGTGTGAGGACGTGTAGGTTTTTTTCTACGTGTGCAAGCCACTGGCTGCAGTCTGCCAACCTCGTAAGTCTCAAGTTGAAGCTTTCTGTTCAATGACTGACCGCCAACAAATATTCTGCTGGGTCTCTCATTGCACCAGGGGAGTGGTTGACACAGCCGCTTGAAATTTCAGCCCAAGCGCCGGGCCACCAAGTTTTGCGGCAATGGATACGTGCTAATTAGCCAATCCACGAACAGGAGATCGCTTGGCTCTACTCGAACATGATGCAAGGTACTGCATGGCATGCCCTTCATAGCAAAGTCCAACGCCATCCACCTGCTCGAGCCAAACCTCGCAATAACACCTTCCATTTGCTTAAGCACCCTGGGAGAAATAAAAATATTACCAGTAGTGATAGATTCCTTTAAAACCAACAGGGGAAAATACAACATATTCTTAAACACATGGAATCATTTGATACTGCCATGCCTTTCTACCCCTAAAGTGGCTGCATGGTCAGCGTCTCGAAATCGGAGCTGGTGCTGCCTGGGACTAGACTCCTTCTCGTTTCCTTTTGTCATCCGGTCCTGGACTCCACTTGCCCTCTACCTGTTATGTTGCGATTTCATGATATCACCTCATTGCCTCCCAACAATCATGAACCAAGTGCTGAAGGAGTTAAAACAAAATGGAATAAGTACACCTCAAGAAAAGAAATGCCGCGCACGTGTAGCTTGCCTTACCTCACTGCGAGGTCGGCTCCATCAAACCCAAAGCCTTTGGTCCTGTCAAGCAAGGTTGGCCAACCTCAATCACTTCCAAGAAAGTTCTGAGTCCAAAGGCTTCGACCAAACGACGGAGCAACACCCTCCCAACACCTTTCAAATTTTCACATGGAGCCTGACGTTCGGGAAATGGTCCCGTTAAAAGTTGAGGCTAGATTCCAAGTTGAACGTTGGAAAAGCAAATCCGGAGAGGTCTCGTGGTTTTCTTGAACGGTGCGCCACACTCGCCCGCCTCAGCTCGCCACCTGATGCGAGCGGTCTGTGAGAGAGAAGGACTGGTTCGGCCCAATTTAGGCGGCTTTTTTTTCTTTTTGGTTCCACATGCTGCCTTCTTGCGAAGGAGCTCGCCACGGGTGGGTTTCTTGGTGTCACTGCACATCTTCAACACCTGATGTGTGGTTCGTCTCAAGGCTCGGGGGCCTAAATCTTGCCGAGTGCTTGGGACCCACGCTGCGAGCCCATGTGAGCCGCGCGTCGAAAGCGCTTGCTTGCCCATGTAAGGATGCCATGCCAGGTCGACAGCAACGGGCGTCATTCACACAACCCTGGTTACTAACAAGGTGTAGTATAAATTGGGCGTGTGGCGGGGGGGGGGGGGGGCAATTCCGGAAAAAATCCACTGACTTTCCAACAAAGGCAAGGGTGAATCGCCCTAGCTTCGGGTATATGTCCCGTATGCCAGCCTGCAAGTGGTTGATGCAACTTTGAACCTCCCTAACTTGCAATGGTATACTCCATGTATATCTGCCAAGCATCATCGGCTTAAGATGGTTTAAGCATGTGGAAACCACCGTTGACTAAGACATGCCTTCTAGCTTTCCTTTGAAAGGGGCCCATGGTCCTAGTGGCTTTTCCCACGCACTTTGCCGCACAGTCTCAGTTGCCCAAAGGACCCAAAGAAAAAACAGAGAAGGTCAAAGGGCGGGTTTAGGGCACTGGAGGACCTAGGAGTGGTCTCAGCTTGTGGCATTTCTTCCAGCAGCTCCCTTTCAGCGAGGCTCGAATCTGCTCCTTGCGCGGAGAACGCGGGGCGTCGACGCCGGTGGGCTATGGCGGGCTGAGCCCATAAGCCAGCCGCACCGAATGAGCTGCGTAACTCAAAGGTGAAATGCTCAGATGCTCAGGTGGCTGAGCTGTCTGGACCAAAGCGTTGACCTTGGAAAGGTTGGTCCCTCGCAGTTTCCCAAGCATGGTGCGGAGGGGAAAGGGTCCATTGCTCGTGCTCAAGCAGGCCTCAAAGTTTCAAGCCATGCCTGTTGATCTTGTTTGATTGTTCCGATCAGACCCTCAGCAAGCAACACCTGGCTTCAGTCTCGCAGGTCCAGCGAACCAGGCATCGCCAGGGAGAACTGACACAAAGAAACATGCGGCATGTACCAGGACATCAAGATGTAAGGCAAAGGAGGATTGTATGGGTCCCGTATATGAACCCATGCTGTCTTGGGACCCTTTTGGGGGGCTGATTTCCCGTTTTCAGCCATTGCTAACGGTCAAAAAACTAGGGGCTCATTCCAGGGCTTCGTATATGGGCGTAAACATTCAGCATTAGATCAAGGCAGACGACTGGCGAAAAGCGGCGAGTTAGCTACAAGTCTGAGACAACATGCACTCATGCAAAAGGCATGTCCGCATGTGTCTGCCCTATGTTTGTTCTGAAATAATAAGCATAGGTCATACTGTGGATGGACAAAATCCTGCACCACCTAAGAAACCATGGTTGAAACCAGTGTTTGTTGGTATTTACAGGGAATCAGACCATTCCAGGGCTTCTTGGGTGGTGCGAAATGGATTTCGTCCATCCACAGTAGCTTGGCTTGAACGACCAAAGGCCCTTGGCGGAATCTCCACTTAAAACGTCCCTTCACGTCCTCCGCCAGCCAGAGGTGCGCATCCTGGAGGCAAAGGCCGCTTGGCGTGACTTCAGGCTAAGGTCAAAACAAGCCTCGTGTCAACATGCTGTGTCCCACAACAAAATCACCGCGCTAATTCACGAAATTGGCACGAATTGGCCATCCAAAAGCTGATGCTTGGCCCAAGGGGAACAAATAGGGAGCTCTGAAGTGGCAACCTGACTTTCGCGGCATGCAACATCCACAAAGGCCAAATTGCTGCCCTGTGTTGACTGACATTTCTGAACTAGCGACATCTGACCCTGGGCATGTCAAGGGCAATAAAGAACCTGACGCAACCGAGCGATTTTGGGATTTTTCATGTCTTTTCTGCTCTGACCATTGATTCCTGCGATACTGCGCAGGGAAATGCATGCACACCCCTTCGCGGGCAAAGCATCACGTTTACAATTTCATCGCAAGCAACCAGCCTAAACATGCCGCAGTGGTCATTGCTCAGGCACTCTGGGTGTGTTGGTTCAAGTCACGTTCAACATCTTCAAACTCGGTGTGGCCACGAGCGAGTCCCGTCCCGCCGTCCCGCCTCTGGCGCGCTGCAGCAGTCGGCGGCATCTTTGGCCTGGGCGAGCTCCTAGCTAGCAACAGCAACAACAGCAGCAACAAGATGCCGCTCATGCTGAGGTCTAGCAGCCTATTGCTTATACAAGTTGAAGATGCTATGAGAGTCTAAACTAGAAGTTTAAGTGAGAAACCGCGGGGGAATTGTCCCCGCGATCATTGGAAACACCTCTAGATCTCCCGTGGCAGGTCGTCTAAGCCCAAAACAGACCAACTTGTCACCGAAGTTGAGGCGAAGCCCAGCACATTTGACCAGAACGCTCGCATGAGCCAAAAGCTTTTGGACTTTATGTATCTTTAAGCGCCAAATGCTGCAAGCGCAGTTGTGGGGCCAAGACGTGGCATCAAGTATAATGGGCGAGCAAATCTCACGAAGCGGCAGACCTCCTGATGGCACTTTGGAGCATGCGGCGAGGGGCAACTCAGTGCCTTCCAGGTGCAAGATGTGGGAGACGCGGTGCAGTGAGGCGTCTGATTCCGAATCATTCAATGAAAGGAGTCCATTCAGACATGACCTGCAAAAGACGCGGTCGTTTTTTGTTTTTTCCTCCGTCTGCCTACGCAGCCAGAATCCGACCAAAGCGACCATTCTCAAGTCAGGCAACTAAGCAAGCGCTACTCCGAGCGAAGAACGCGACCGCCCTCACTGCTTTCAGGCGCAAAAACTCGTGGGCAGGACCAGCAGCTGGACACTGAGAAGTTCGACACATGTCTTGGCCGTAAAGCATGCGCGCCGAAGGCCTAGCTGCTTGACATCAGGTCTGCCCGCTTCTCTCGAGCTGTGGTCGTGCCAGGACCTCCACCTCCACCCGCCAAATCGACCGAGCCAACCAGTCACACAGACACTTAAGTTGGTCAACTGGTCGGTTTAGAACGGAGAGGACCCGATCTCATCTTCCGCGCCACAAACACTTGCAAAACTCTAGAGTTGTTGCACCTCAACCCGCCTAATGTGTCTTTGGCCCCAAGCCGCCGCTGACAGAAAGGTGTTAATGACTTCTCTGCGCAAGCTGTCCATACAAATTTATCTATCCGACACATCCACGTAAGCTTCTTGTTAAGGAAGTTTCGTGCAAGCTGATCTGTACAAGTTTCGGAGCAACTCAAGCTCTTTATTTCCGTTTCTCGTTGCACGCTCTCTCTCTCTCTCTCTCTCTCCCTCTCTCTCTTTTGCGAGTTTGTCGAGAATGTTTTCCGTGCAAGAGTTGGTTGCATCGTTCCAAGTTCTCTACGCAAAATATCCTGTCAAAAACACGAGTTTCTGGGAAGCATCACCAAGAGATCTTCCGGTGGACATCTCGAGCTTGCATCTTGCATAGAGAACTTGCATTGACAAGCTTGCATGGAGGTCTTGCATGGAAATCATGCGCGTAGAAAAGCTTGCATACGGAACTTGCACAGAGGAATGTGTGTGTGTGTGGATAACGTGCATCTTCAGCTTGCGCCGCGGATTTGCGCAGGCATTTGCGCAGACAATTTGAATTTGCGCAAAAAAGTTTGTGTAAAGAGAAAATGCAGAGAGACACTTCGAAGAGGGGACCTGCTGAGCCAGCCGCAGAGCCACTTGCACGGAAGTTGCAAGTAGTCACTTATTATTATTTGTTTACTAAACAAATGGGCTTGCTACTCCATCAGCTCAGGTACTGTGTCATGCCCTCAGGCCGGTGCCCTCCGCGCGCACGCGAGTAGAGTAGGAAGTCCCGTGACGAACGAAACGCGAAGCGGAATTCTCCATGGAAACGTAGGCTATAGCTCCCGAGCTGAGGCAGAAGCCACGAAGCAGAGGTGGATACCCCGCACTTTCAGCCTGCATGCAAGCCATACGCCGGTAAAGACATGAATGGCTGTCTTTCGGCTCGTCTGTGCTGCTCCTCTTTGAAGGGGGCGATGGGAGAACCCTCCTTGGCACTTCCCTCTTGGGAACACTTCTGGGCGAACAACTCTGGGAGTAATTTCTGCGAAGAACGGCGCTGGGGAAAACAGCTGTCCATCCTTTGATAGCTTGATGGTTCTTGGGTTCGATATACCTTCCACACAGAGCCCGCCTGCGAGTGAGGCTCTTTACGCGGCGGTCCAGGCTGCGATAGGTGCGAGGCGCACTTTTGCCTGATCAAAAAGAAAGACGCCATTCTCTTTAACTGCCGGCTTCTTGCACTCGCACACTTGCGGACTCCGAGACTGCACATTGTCAACATCCACAAATGAACCAAGTCAAAGGGCAACGAAGTGCTACCTGCAACTTCCAGAGAAGCAAACATGAACCAGCACTGAGCGACCTGCAGACCATAAAAAGTCAGGAAGCCTTTGCAACTGAATTACATGCCTCACTAGCGCAAGGCACTCCAGCAACGCACGAAGTTCGGCATGCCCTCTCCAACTCCCCGGCTCGCCCTCCCTTTCTCCACGGTTGCTTAGCCATGGGGGGGGGGGTTCTCTGTCACTCGGCCCATGCCCTTCATTTCGCGACCGGACCCATTCAGAGCACCTTTATCAAGGGGACTGAAATTCATTCAGTCATTCCATTCCATTCCATTCCATTCCATTCTATTCCTTCATTCATTGCGCAGAAGCACCTGTGTTCGTTCCCGCTTTTGCCCTCAGCTCCTTACTCACTGGCCTCTCATGCGCTCCAGGTTGACCAGCCACTCCACAAAGGCTTGGAAGTCTACCAACACCTGGGCTAGGGAGCCACCCTCTCAACGGGAGTCCCCAACCAACAGTCATATGGCTGGGGTTCAAAATTCAAGAGCTAGGGTTACTCGATTCTAGTCTTTGGTTCCATTTACCAAGGTGCCATTGTGGTACCTTTCTTTGAGCCACAGCCATATGTTGGATTCTGGGTCCTTAGTGAACCTGGAAGGCCATTTCACTACAGGCCGCATGCCCAAGGAAGTCCTACACGAGGGGAGAGTTTCAGCTCTGTCAGAAAAGAGGGAATCTCATAAGGACATCCCCATGAGGGACTGCTGACATCTCTTGGTCTCGATTGTGAACTCTGGAGCTAGCGCACGGCCGCGCGGGCGTGCGCTATGTTGGCAAGCCTCAACTTGGCTGCCTAGACATGTTGTACAATGTTACGTACTATGTGGCATTGTCTCAAAATAGGGGCACCCTGGTTTCCTTGTTTCCTTTAAGATTCCATTCAAAACCAACCAAAAGGAGACCCTTAAACAAAATGATACCCATGTCGCTTTGAATACCGTGGTGGTCCTTACCTGCCTACAGGGCCGGTTGAAACGGGAATCAGCAACATGGCATGGCCCTCGAAGCGTTGCGCAACGCGCGCAGAATTCATTCCAGGCTGCGCGGGCCGCTGGAGGGCAACTTACACGGCCGGCGGCCAAAACGCAGCTGTGCAAAGGAAAAATGGCTCCACAAAGGCGAGGGCTGACTTACAAACTTACAAACCTCCTGCTTGGAGGCACTTGCGGGAGGAAGCTGGACGAGGTGTTGATTCACTAAACTAGGGGATCCCAAAAGTCCCTTGAGCCACCATCAACGTGTCGAAGAAGTCTACTCAAGACCACATCAAAAGGGTGGACATGTGCACTTTCAGTACTGGCTGGAACTCTCCCTGAATTACCGGCTGCTTCAAAGTGACCTCCTCAAAAGCGCCCTCAAAATGCGGCCCACTTTCAGGGGCGATGTGGCCATGGGTCAAAACCCAATCCCCACTAAAATAGGTTCAAAAATGGGTGGTGCACCTAGTGTTGAAGCAGACAAACACCTCCAAATGGCACTGGTTTCAGGGGGCGCTGTAAACTTTGACCGCCCAGGCTTTGACCGCTCCCTCATGCCGTCGCCTCGGTGGCTTGAGCAGCGGCCGGCTCCAGAGCACAGAGCGGGCGCAGCCTCGAACGCGAGGCGCCGTCAAAACCAAATGGGTATCTGTTTTCAAGGTACCCGTGTTGGGTGTTTTTTCAATTAAACCAAACAAAGGGAAACCACCCATTTGGGGAGGTGCGAGAGAAACCCCTACATAAAATTTGGAGATTTGACAAAATAGGGAGACGCTGAAGATGGCGATCTGCTTGGCTTGCCGTGAAACCAACCTTAAGCAAACAAGCAAACAAGCAAGCAAGCAAGCAAGCAAGCAAACACACACACACACAAACACACAAACTGACAAACTAACAAACTCACAAACTGACAAACTGACAAACTGACAAACTGACAAACTAACAAACTAACAAACTAACAAACAAACTAACAAACTAACAAACTAACAAACTAACAAACTAACAAACTAACACGCACACACACACACACACACACACACACACACACACACACACACACACACACACACACACACACGCACACACACGCACGCACACACGCACGCACGCACACACACACACACACACACACACACACACACACACACACACACACACACACACACACACACCACACCACCCACCCACCCACCCACCACGCACGCACGCACGCACGCACGCACGCACGCACGCACGCACGCACGCACGCACCCACACACACACACACGCACATATATATATATATATATATATATGCACCTACACGCACACGCACACGCACACGCACACACATGCACATGCACATGCACAAGCACATGCATTTGCACACGCACTCACACACGCATGCGCACACACACACACACACACATAAACACACAACTCGCGTGCGGTTCCTGTTAATGCACATGGGAATTTAGTATCCTTGGTTAGTCAGAGAGTCCCCGAAAAGTCCCCCAAACTGACCGTCGACTATAGACTATTGGTAATTCTGACCAAGGCTCCAATGGGAGCAACACAGCAAACCTGGAAATGGAACAAATACGGAATTTGTGTCAAACAGGCTCGCTCAATTCAGGTTTCCTTGAAGGGGGGGCTTCCTCATTTGGAGATAAAACGCTTGTATGAAACCCAGACACGGACAAACCACAACATTACCACATGAGACAGAATCAACTTCAAATGCAAAAAGTGGTTTCCAACTCGGGGACCACACAAATGGTTGATAGCCCTTTTTTGCTTCCCGTGAGGACACTTCAGAAACAAAAACACATTTAGGACGACCCCAGTATCTCCGGGCATCTGAGGTGCGTTCTCAATGTCCCCTTGCTGTCGTGCGCTTGTTGAAACCCAGGCCACCGTAAGAGGCCCAAGGGAATTGCTTGCTTTGGCAGGTTACCTTCTGTTTCTGTTTAGTTCTTTGTCTTCTCGTTCTGCAAGCAACAGTCACCGTCCTACTTCGTTCAGGACCGGGCAAGCCTCGCATAAATAATTTCTAGCGTGGTGTCCAGGCTATACCACCTCCGTTGCCGGAACACGTCCTATTGGAAACATGACCATGGCCATGAGGAGATTGGCCAAAGTTTCTCCCACCTGCCATGTGGGCGCCGCAAAGTCCGCGCCACACGCCTAGCTCATGCCACACCAAGCAGGCCCCGAATCGACCTAAGAGCTCGGCTTTGTATGTAGATATAAATATAACTGTGTGCTCATGTGGCATGTAATACTATATTAATATATATATATATATATATATATCTGTACATACATACATACGTGTATATATATATATATACATAGTATACATATGCATGGTTACTTCTGAATCTAGTCATGTATAAAATGTTCCGGGCCCCTGGATGGTTTTTAGAAGAACACGGTATGAAAAGGAATTCAAAACGAAAGCCTTCAGGTCGTGGGGGCGCCCTCTTTCAGTGGCCCATACCGAATGCTATGTGAATCTTCAGGCGGGCAAGACCAAGCGCTCTGCCGTGTTTCGCGTGAGCTTAAGGATGTGATTGGGCAGCTTCTGGCTGGCCGTGCCTCATTCTTAGTTGCGTCTCTTTTGTTTGGCCTTTCTTTGCCTCCCATTTGATCACCAGGCCAAAGGCATCCTCAGTTAGGAGGGATACACCATCCTTCTCAAATCTCCTTCAAAAGCTCTCCTTTTTTCTGAGGGCACCCGTTTTTGGTGGTGCTTTTTGGGTAAACAAACAAGAACGGGCCCAGCGCCGCGAAAAAGAAAAAAACTCTCTCGCCCCCGATGAGGCAAACCCGCCTGGCACCGGCAATGGCTGCCACGCACAAGGCCTGACTGCCGCCTCGGGTTTGGTTCGCTCTTTGGGATTGGGAGCCCATTTTAAGGGTTATCCTGATGCAGTGAGACCTTCAAACCCAATCGCACAGCTGAATCTAGCGGCAAATTAATCGGATTAATCAAATGATTTGCAGGAGGCACCCATTTGGAAGCGAAACCCCTTTGGTTTTCCTTGAAAGCCCGGCAGAAAAAAGGACAGGGCCCTGTCTAAGCGAGGGCGGAACCCCAAAAGAGCACCTACAGATTACAGTACCCAAGCAAAGGAAAGAAACGCAAGGTACACCCACGGAACCCTTCAGGGATAGCCAGAAGCCGGCCGCTCAGAACCAGAGACACAGCTCCAGGCTGTTGGGAACCCCGAAACTCCGCCGGAAATCACGGAACACTATCGGCTGGAGCATTCCCTTTACCGCCTCAAGCCTTCTCCAGTGACTAGATCATCGCTATCGCACTGCAAACCTCCGGAGAACCACCAGCACATGCTCCAGCTTTCGGGAATCCAGCCCCCGGAACCTGCTGGAACCGTCTGGAGTCCTTTCAAGCAACGAGCTTCACAACTCCAGAGCTTGTCTGGGCACAGACCCGAATTGGGCCTCCCCGACACCTACGAGTACCTTCTGAGACCTCCTGAAATGTATGAAAGGGCATGCCAGGGTGTGTGTGTGTGTGTTGCTGTCCCTTTAAACCAAAGGAGGGCTCCCCAAACAACACCCCCTTCCATTTAGCTCAAGTCGCTAGAACTTTTATACACATATCTCCGGTAGTGACAGATTCCCTTTAATACCAACAGCAGAAAATTAAACACCTTCTTCAGCCAATGGTCGCCCCCGGTTGCCTTCCAACGCACGCCGCCCCGCTCTAAGCCCTCCGGCCGCGGACCGACGCCCCCGTCTTCTGGCGAACTTCGGTCCGACGCGAAGGCTCCGCCGTGAAGCGCACCGCCGGACCGTTTGCCAGGGCCGGCCTGGGGTGAAACGCGAACGGTGCAGCTTCGTCGGCAAGCTGGCTTCCTCTAAAAACAAAATGGGAATTTGGGTCCGCCAACCTGGGTGAGCAAAAACAGTTTGGGGGCAAAAGTGGCAACGCGGGATGATTCAACTGTTGATCAACTGTTGATGGAGAGAGGGATGTGCCAGTTTAAGATGGACTCCGGATCCCTCTTGGGGAACACGCCGGAAGACCTTTGAAACACAGAGCTTCAACTGGGGCTTGAGCCTTGCGTTCCTTGATCGTTGTTGGTCATGATCACTTTCTTGCTTTGTTGGCAGGTGCTGATGTTCAGTTGTCAAGACACAATGTTGGTGTCTAAGATGTTCTTGACATTAGACTGCGATTGAGTGAGTGGCTGGTTGCTGAGGATGCGACCATTCGGTCAGTGTCTCTGTTGCCTCAAGAAGTGGTACATGTGGATGCACATGTACTGTATGCTTATATTGTTAGGGAATTCACATGAGTCCGAAGAAAAGAATCTCAAGAACACAGACTGACATGGACATGGACGTACACCGCTACAAGCCATGACACGTCGGCAGTAGCAATGCAGCAGCAGCGGCAGAGGTCGCATCAAAAACCAGCACTAGTGATTTTGGCGCATCTGAGTGAAGCAAGCCCTGCCAAAGGGGTGCAGATCCTGAGGTCATGGCTGGTACATTGCCACTCTTCCGCCGGCAAATTGCTCGCTTGCTAGTAGCAGTTGTGCGTAAAATGAGAGTAAACACTTGAATGTTGCTCTTGCTGGGCTGCAGCTGCTGGGACATGCCTGAAGTCCCGCGAAGCTTCTGCGTGAGTTTGTGCTACTGGCTGAGGATGCGCCTTTGAGTTCAAACAACATGATCGGCCACAGACAAGGCAAAAAGGCTATGTTTGATCACCCAAGCATGTCGGGCCTTGTCACATGCCCACCGAAAGGCAAGCCCAAGCTTGGCCTTTGCATGGAGTTCGGCAGGAAACGGCAGCGAACACCAAGGTCTGGAATTCTTGCGGGCGCGAGCAAGCACGCCGAATTACGAAGCTGCACCCCGAGGTTATAACCATAAATCATTAGTCAGTTTGCATCGGTCCACGGCAGTTGCGGGACTCCTCATCTTAGAAGCATGAAGCATGCCCACCAAAAGGAACCCAGTCTACATTGGGTCCAAAGGTTGATGTTTAAAACCCCCTCAGGGAAACATAGAAGTTGGAATTGTATCACACACCAGCATTCAAGTTGTGCTTCTTCACACAAGGCCTTCAAGCGGTTTGGCAGCTCCAACCAACCCCCTCTCGAAACTGGACAATTAATCTGCATGAGGATAATCTGATCCCTTCACATCCAATGAACTCTACCACAGGTCGGCCCGCTTTACCTTAATTTCCCCTAGCACCCAAAAAGGGAAACTCCGAAACCTACGAAATCTGATCCCTTGAGCCTGGCACAAGGCGATCCGCCAAAACTCCTCGCGAGACGTCGAGCTTTTCCAGCTGCCGCGCTCGACAGGACTTCCTCTTTCACCTCGGCTTTCAGTCGCCCGTTTGCGAGACAGTGATCCTCCGTCCAAAGCAGGACACTTCTCCCTACGTCTTGGGAGGCACACGCCAGGATTCAAAGCACACTTGCATGAGTCAGGTTGACATCAACTATATGACAGAACGCAAGTACAACACGGGAAAAAAGAGGAGCGCATCTCATGGTGAAAAAAAGCAACAACAAGACAAACAAAGACTCAAACGATGGTGGCATTCAGCAAAACCAAAACAAACACCCCTTTTGCTCTCCCCCCATTGGGCCCGATCTTCGACAAAAAAACCCGCTAGGCCCCTGCCAAGGCCACGATCTTGGAGACCACCTGACCGTTTCGTGCTCGGCGGGAAAAACAAAAACCCCAAGGCTCCGCGCAGGAAGTACGGCGTAAGAACAACTTCTTTATGTGCGTCTTTTTGGGGGGGACCCCTTTCCCAGTCCAGAGGGTTGCCCTTGAAAAAACCGCAAACAGGTACCCTCGCAAGAAGACACCCAGGGGGCATCGATGTCTTGGAACCTTCGGCCGGAGACTGGGCCCAGACGCTGGATGGCTGTTGACACGAAGAACGGGTGGGGTGCTACTCCAAGGTTCCTCAAAGAATGGCTGCGCCCCATGTCAATCTATATGAGTCGCTGGAGCAGCTGAGCTTTGCACCTGATCTGAATCATTCAAACTTCAAAGGAATCAACGGGCATGCCGTTGGGAAACACCAGCGTCAATTGTCTGAACCCTTCACAAAGGGGAACATCCTTTTTTTCCTGTTTTTGTTGGTATTGTGAGTGTACGTAAGAATAGTGTGCATAGCAAGCCACAATTCATGTTCGGCTCCCTTGGTTGCCGAACAATGTCTCCTCCATCCCGAAAAAGATTCGAAACCCTTGTTAGGATCATACTCGAGGCCTGCTTCCTGTAATAAGTACAACAGCTATGGAGCATGGGGAACTTGCCACACAATGGCCATGGGTACCAAAATCCCGTCCCGCCGGTGAACATCCCAATTCCCACTAAAATAGGTTCAAAAATGGGTGGTGCACCTACCCCAAAATGGCACCCCATTGGTTTTGACCCACAGCCAAATGGCGTTGCAGGGCTTTTCCCATCCCAATCTGTCACCAGAGGTCCCAAATTCCCCATCCCCCAGCCCAACCGATTCTGCTTGCCCCCGCCTCGGGGCGCGTGGCCGCCCGTAGCAACGCCGCCTGCACGGCGGACGCGTCCACCTGACAGGTCGGGGCCAGACTGATCGATGAGCAACGCGGATCCCGAGAACATCTTCAGAAAACCAGCTGGTCCCCATCAATACACTGTTCCCAGCTTGAGACATCAAGGATGACCTTCCCATTGAAAGAATCTGGCCAGGCTCAACTTCGCCAAGCGTCCTGTCCTCTTTTCTCTTCAGCTTGGGGCCCAAAGTCTTGGGGGAGAGAAATCCCCGTTCTTCCAAAGAAGGAACCACCTACCTGAACCACCAAAGGCCTGTTCCTGATAGTTCGCCCTTTTCGTACTCCAAGCCTCTCCTACTCGAGTCTGAGCCATGCTTAAGTGGGTCGTCGTGCTGGGATGGGAACCTCGCACGCTGTGAGTGTGAGACAGTGCCAGGCATTCCAACTCTGCATGCCGCATGCCTCCTCGCCAGCCACGACCTGCCAGGAGCCAATTGGACAAAACCTGCGGCTGTCCTCAGATCCCCTGCTAAAAGTTCAACTTTCGGGTCAAATGAAAACCCGCACTTAAACCCCGAAAAACCACCAAAAACTAAAGGGGATGCCTGGAACCACCGAGTTTCATGCAAGCAGAAACTCTGGCTGCCGGCTTGGAGACTGATGTCTTTAGCTCTGTCATAGTCTTGCCTGTGCAGTATGAACAGATTTCCACTCGGCTGGTCACAGCCTTTTTAAGCTTCATATGCCTCGAGAAACTCACCACGTCAATCCGTCTTCCTCCAACATGGAACCAAAAGAACATCATGAGGCAGCAAAAAGATTGACGCACAGAGCCTCCAATGCAGATGTCAGATACTCCAAGTTTCCTGCAGTGTCCTGCAATTCCTGGAGGCGAGCCGGAACTGAAAACGCCTTGCGAATGAACCGCGTCACTGCAAACAATTGTGCTCACAAATATTGATGTTGCAACTCATGTCCGTCTTGTACGCAAGCAACCAGCTTGTAAAACAGCGTCCATCAACTGTTGTTAGCCGCTCATTGCTAGCCTACACACAGCCATTCGTCCGTAATCAAGGGACAAGTGAGTAAGCGACAAAGGGGCCTTCTGCTGGATTTGGACATCAACACATCGCCCCCGCCGTTGTCCCCAAGGCCGACCATTTGACAGTGATTCGAGAGAAGCAGGCCTCTGTCATGTTTTATCCGGCGATCAATATGGTCTGCCAGATGTTCCTTTTGACTTTCCTTTCAATGACACTATCCCAAGAGGGTCCCATTGCGAATCACTGTGACTGTTTCCCGGTAATATGGCAAGTGACTGCATTATTGAGACACTAAAAAGAGAGATGAAATCACCCTATGATACTGAGACCAAATCCTGCATTTGGTAGCTGGTTTACCCCAATCTTCCCAGAAGTTCATCCATCACAACTGGATTTCGTGCATCCACATGGCCGACATTCAAGAGCCTGCTCTACCAAAAAGCCCTTTTCCGAGGGGAACGGGAGGATCGAACTGTCGGGGCACGACTCCATCCGCTCCTCGTCGGGGTTCAGCCACCAGGGTTCAGGCCTGCCGGCCATCGAGGGCGGCACCCTTTTCCGGGTGGTCTTCAAAGGAAACGCACCGGGAAACCACTTCTTTTGTGGGTCGCATTCAGAAAGAAAAAAAAAAGGAAGAAAAAAGGAAGAAGAAAAAAACAACATATCGGCGTCTGCGGCACAAAATGGGTCCAAAGGGGACCCCCTTTTGGCATGGCGAAGGGTCACCCATGGGAGACACCAGCGGGGTGCAAGCCTTTGAAGCACCTCTTCATTTTCATTGCGGCTGAGTCACTGATAGACCCCTACCGAAGCTCCCAAAGACTTGGGTCCTTTTCCAGAGGCCTTCTGGGAGCTTCCTGGTTAGTCTGAGGGAGTGTAAGTTGGCAAGTTTCTCTCGAAGCTCAATCTGGTGTCGGGGCTTGCTCAAAAGGCAGCACACCTCTTTTGTCACTTTTGAAGACAAATCATGCAACGGACCTTCATGAGTGCCCATGAATGATGAGTTGGCTGGCAAACGCTAGGGTGAGAACAGCGAATGCATAACTTTCGTGGAGTCTAACTAGGATGGTCCTCTACCGAATGTCAAAGACCTTGGGTGAAGTTTGGGAAGCCTAGCCTCTGCACCCTGCGGGGGCGATTTAACTTGGCGCTTCGTTTGATCCATTCGGGGGCCTTAGCAGTCACGCACGTCTTCGGCCAAGAATCATCGTCTGGAAAACGCGCTTCTTCTTGACCGTTTCAAAAACGTCACCCACCACAACTGTGTTTCCCCCAACAGATTGAAGCTCAGCGTGCGAAGTGCAACCGACAACTCTCTGAAGGCTCGCAAAATGCGAATCGGCTCAAGTGCTTTCAGCTAGTCAAATGAATGTGTGGTGCTTGGATTGGTGTATCCTGGCAACCTCTCTTAGCAACTGGCCATCCAAAAGCACGCCCTGACTCTAACCTGCCAAGTCAACTTCCCATTCAATCAATCCAACCCAATCCTAAAGCCAGAACAGCTGAATCAACTCAAAAACAATCCCAATGCAAACATAACCTCACACCACCGACGCACAGAAACCGACAAACAGCTAAATCATTTTGCGCCCAAAACCTACGCAAACCTTGCTACAACCCCATGAACGCAAATAGTAGGACCCCTCTAAAAATGTGGAAAATGTCTTTGGGCGCTGCTCAAGTACCAAATCCACCCAAACAAAAACAAAAAACGGCAAACAAAACTAACACCCGCCAGCCAAAAAAAACAACTAAACCATCCACCAAACATGTAACCCAAAGAGCACAAACAAAAACACAAGAAAAAACACAAAAACAAAAAAGAAAAAACAAGAAGACACCGGCAACTCCCACCAACTCCACCTCCACCTCCCCACCTCCCGAACCATCCGGCCCAATGGCAGCCTGGCTTCCAGCAGCGGTGAGGCCAGGCATCGGGCCACCGCCTCGTGCACCTCGGCTTTGTCCGGCGGCTGCGGTGGGTTTTTGCCCGTTCTCTGATCCCCAAGGGTAAGACTTGCAGCTTGGGTGAAAAGTGGAAACCGTTCACTGAGAAGCTGGACTAAGGAACCGGATGCCTGGGTTTTGCGGGCTCCTTCCATATGCCAGGCTTCGAATCCCAATGGGGGGTATGGGCTGCCCGTGTTCTGATCCCCTGCGAAAAGTTTGACTGACTGGTGGGTGAAATGGAAACAACTGATCACTAAAAAGGCTGGAAGGCTAAGGGGATGGCTGGGAGCCTCCAAGGTTTGGTGGTTTTGCGTGGGGCGCCACTTTCATGGGCATGGCTCAAAATGAAAGAGCGAGAACAAACCGCAGGCCTTGGTCTTTGTTTCCAAGGGGCCACGTTGGGGTGGATTGGTGCCTCAGGAGGGCTGGAGGGTGACCCTCTAGAACCAGGGACCAATCCACCCCAAGTAGGGATTGCCTGACTTGGTACGGCAGCAACATCTGAAAGCTTTGTGCAGCGCCCTACTCAAAGTGAACAGAGCCACGAAACCAAAAAAAAGAGGTAAACACTTGCCAGCAACAGTGAAGTCAAACCCTTGGCGAGGAAGTCTACTCCGGGACCCGAAATGGATTTGGGTGGGGATAAAAAGGCCCACCAACTTTTAAGGCAAACAAGACGTGCGGAGAAACACTTGGGTGTACTCCTTATATGTTGCTTTCAGGGCAACGTGCAGGGTGACACCACCCTTTGGGCCGAAGATCTTTTTGGAGATATGCCCTCAGACGCCCAGTGGCCATGGGAAAAAAAGAAAAAGGCATCCTTTTTTGGTTGGTTGACTTTGAAGGGGAACCCTTGCCCAAAAAAAGAAAAAAGGGCGGAAGCCACTGGCCAACTGGGTGCCCAACAAGGCGTGAGCCCATGGCTTCATTTGAGCGGGGCACCCGCTGCTCTGCGTCTCCTGCGGCATCGAACCACTGGTTCAGGGACAAGGACCTCACTGACTGCCCGTCGAAAGGCCGGTGAGCAGCGACCGAAACCACTGGTGGTTCTACTAAAATGGTTATACGGCCATGGCACCAAAATAGACAAATGGCTGTGGGTCAAAACCCAGGAAACCCCTGGTGAACATCCAAATAGGTGGCAATGGATGTTCATCCACCCCAAAATGGGATCGCCACAGGTTATGCAACCCATGGCCAAACGAGTTGGAACGTACGACTTGGAGCCCTTCCACCCCTTTGAAGGGAGTTTGACGGATCACGAAGCCATGTATCTACCTTCACTGCTGTTGACGGACAACTCCTGACCACGCAAAGCGTACTGCTTGGCGGTCCGTGCAATGCCAACTTCGGAGTAATCTGGAGGGCCATGCAAATCAGAGAAATCGCCTCGAAACCAATTGAACTCCCCACTCAAAGGCGGTGTCCCAACCTCGTCCCAAAGTTGCCCTGCTTTCGAGTACAAGTGTCACTCTACTCGCAACTAGGCCGCCGGCCAGTCTGAGACACATTCGACCTGCAGCTCGCAAGCAGGATGCAGGCTGTGCAAGTGGTCAACCGTTAGACAATGAGCGATTGGCTTCTTGCATGAGGATCTGTGCTCATCACAAGCTGCAGCGGCATGACATGAACATGTGTTCCTGCCACTGAAGCCAAGAGTTACTTGTGACAAGTACATGTTTCCCCCAGATATGTCGTCGGTGCTTGAGACGTCCCAACTCCAAGAGGTACCCTGATTTCAAGCTCCTGTTGTCTGACACGGCCTGGTGCTGGACATAGATGAACACCCATCAGGGGTTCCGCATTTTCAAGACTCACCCATATCCTACAAAGGGCGGGCATGTGTCACAAATAGTGACCCCTCCACCTGAGCGTTGGTTTTTATTCCCTACAAACTTGCTTGGACATTGTTTCATGGACTCGTTCTGAGGGGGGGCAAGGGGGTCACTGCAAACCATTTAACCTCCTTTATCCTCCTTTAGCTTCCTTTAGCTTCCTTTAGCTTCCTTTAGCTTCCTTCAACTTCCTTCAACCTCCTTCAACCTCCTTTAGCTTGCTTTACCTTCCCCAAGCTTGTTTCCTTCCTTTAGCCTCCTGTAGCCTCCTTTAGCTTTATTTGGCTTTCTTTAGCTTGCTTTAGCCTCCCTTAGCCTCCTTTAAATTCCTTTAGCCTTTCCCTAAGCATTGCGGTCACTCCCCTTGCCCCCCCTCAGAGCGAGTTCATGATTATTCCAGCTTCCGCGGACCCTTCCGCATCCTTGCCGCGGGCAAAGAGGTCCCTTCCGCGAACTTCCGCGTCACATGTGTTTCATTGGTTGCTTCCGCAAACCTCCCGCGGCGCATGGTTTACAAGATTTGCTTCCGCGAAGAAAGGAAAGTCTGTCTAAGTAGTAGTGATTCGCCGCAGCCTGTGTAGGCTTGGGCTCCATTGGGCTCCCATGCTATACGCCGGCTGTTTTGGTCTTCTTGGCTTGCTGTTGGCAACTGCTCTTCGAGTAAGCAGCAACACCTTTTCTCTTCTACTGCAACTGTTTCTCCGTGCTTTTCCATGCACGCACTGAAACACTTAATTTCGCATCAGCCACAAAGCTTCCGCAAACCTTCCGCGAACAAACCCCTTCCGCGAAGCCTTCCGCATGCTTCCGCGCGTGTGGCGCGGTGCACATTTTCATCCCTCTCCCCACTAAATTAGCTTGCGGCAAAACAACCGCCGCTCACTTGGACAAAGAAAGCTTCATGATGTCTCCATGCACTTGCTCCTTCCCATACCGGCAGCAGCTCAAAATGATCACATAAATCACGCTCAGCATTCACGATGTCTCAAAAAACAAATACCCTCCCATCCACTGACATGGAACATCATGGAACCTGACGTTTCGGGTTCTGGAAGACTACTTGCCTTCAACAGGGACCCTCTGATGGGTTCCATGGCAACGTAGACAGGCTACGTCTTGCTTCAAGCCGGAAGCTCACCTCCAAAAGCCGAGGGGCTGCATGGAACCAGTGCCGCGGCACCGCCAGCACATCCTCAGCAAGCGATGTGCTCGCAACACCAAAAGCCCCGTCTGCCCGTGCACATGGTTCCAGTATGGAAATTGTCCACTGCTTGTGATGAGTCCGGAACAAATCGGAGTACTCTCACACATCAGATTGTGCTACCGGCAAGTGAGGCTCGACAAATGTACTCTCTGCAGAGTGGATATACGATATATATATATATATATATGTATATTTATATATTCTTTATGTGTATTTTGTGTGTGCGCGTGCATGCGCATCTTTTGTTGAACCTTCCTATCCTGTGCCCCGTGATTTCAGCAATCATGTCAAGGCAACCAGGGGGTATCCAGGAGGTCAGGTAAGGATGCGAGCTAGCAAGGGGCTAAGAACAAGCAAGGCTCGCCAAGAGTTGGCTGTCACCAAGGGGGCTGTCAAAGCTCTTGGCCCTCACGAACACCTCACGCCGGAAAACGCCGGACAGCCGAAATTTGGCCCGGCTGCCCATCACATTTCTTGCGACTTGCAGCCCGGCTTCTGTCGCAAGTGGCTGTCACTGAGGACTCCAAATGGTTGAGATCCAAGTTCCCGAAGCCAAAAGGCCCGCTCCATTGTGTGGCTTGTGCTTGCTTGTGTGTGTTTGTTTGTTGTTGTGTATTTTCCCGTTGTTGTTCCTCTCTTTCTTCAAAAAAAGACCAAAAACGGGAAAAAAACAAAGAAGATGCGGCCTTAAATCGAAGACCCAACAAAACCAAAAGGTGCAACTCCTGACTGCTTCGAGGCACCCCAGGCCCAAGTACCGCCTGCAGCCCGCAGCGCCTGCGCTCGCACCCACTCTCGTCACTCGGCCGCTCGTTCGCGGGCAAGCTAACAAGGCTCAAACGGGAGGGAGAAGTGCTGGTGAGGGAGGGGGGAGGGGGGGGAGGGCCCAAAAGATTGATGTACACTCAAAAGGTTGAACGGAAGGGCTTCCTACATTTGACTTTCAGAGACCCTCCTGGCAGTTGATTGGCCACCCTGAAACCACTTCGAGGCTACAAAGTCTCGGCCCTTCCTTGTGAGCTTGGAAACCAGAGCGGTGCGACCATCGTGGTGTGCGGCAAACAATGGCAGGGCCGACTCAGCCGAACGGAAAGCAGCACACCCGCAGACGGCCTCTGCCCGGCGACGTCAACCTGAGGAGTGCGAACGCCAGTAACGCAGCCAAAAAACGCAAGCAAGAGCGGCCTTTTTGTTCATGAGCAAAGGCTTTCGAGCAGCATATTTGCGCGCTTTCGGACAGATGCTTTTTCTTGCTTCAACGGGCCTAACGCTGGACTATCATGGTGTGCGAGACACCTCTGCAAGACTTCTGCAAGTCCGCGAGACCTCTGCGAGACTGACACCTCTGCGAGACTGACACCTCTGCGAGACTGACACCTCTGCGAGACCTCCGCTTTCGCGCTGCGTATGTCCTGGATTTCGGGCAGATCTTTCTTCCGGCTTCCGTCGGCCCAGCGTCATGGGCTAGCGGCTAGCGTGCTTCCAAACTCGGTGGCGGAGCATCGATCGTCGGCCCGCCGAAGCACCGAGGAATGTGCGGGATAAGAAGCTCCAGGGGGGATGAAACAAGCACCGTGAGACGGCGGAAGTCGAGCCCTTGACCAGCCCAAAAGCGCAAGCGCGCACGGGGCATTCCTAAACGGGCCCCCAGCAGGCTGACTGTCGTGACATTTGAATTTCCAAGTGTCGCCAACGCCGAGCAAGTCCCTCCGAAGCAAGCACAACAGAAGCATTCACACCTCGGAATGCGGCAAGTAACCCTTCCAGCTGAGTTCAGGTGAGTGTACCCCATATCCACTTCCTGTAGCTGCTTGAAACGTTGGCCCTCTGGAAAAGCTTGAGCCCCATGCGATCGGGAACGGGAAGTGAAAACGGGGCCCGGCCTTTCACCTACAACGGGCCGTGGGAAACCTCGGGTTCCTCGGGAAACGTGGTATTCTTCCAGGGGTTGATTGCCCATTCTTTTCAGCCATCCTTCTTTTCAAACACCGATTGCAATTTCCCCAGAATTTTTGGAGGTTTTCTGGAAAGATCCGGATCCCTGGGTTCAGAATGGACATGGAAGTTACCCCCAGAATTCTGAGACTCTCTGTGAAAAGGTTCAGGATCCTCTCTGGGCGCCAGGCGGGCAGCTGGCGCGCGCTCAAAGGATCAAAGTCTGTGAAGGTGGATGAGTCCTCATGGCCATCCGCTGGAAAAGTTGGCGGTGACTCAGCACCCTCCACAGCTGTCCTTGGGGAAATGGATGGACATCCCTGGTAGATGATTGAACTCACCGGGTACACCAGGAATCGCCATGCGATTTTTTTCGAGCAACACAACCGAAAAGGACACCTATGCCCTCCACGTCCAATTGGCCTTAAGGAGATGTTTGTGACTTAGCGCCCTCTTTGAGCTGGTTTGAGAAGCAGCTGCTTGGGGTGCTGCCCCCAAAACCGAGCCCTCCACCCCGCCCCTGCCAACGAAGCCCACCATCAGCAAGCCATGAGGCCCCCAGACAGCCTGCCGCCCCCAACGGAACCATCCAGCCAAGGGGAGGGGGGGGAGGGAGGTTGTGGGGGGGACTCACATGGACTTCTCCCCATGAACCCCGGGCTTCTTTACACCAACCCCAAAGCAAAGCCTCCCGCCCCAAAGCCTCCGCCCGCCCGCCCGCCCGCCCGCCTCGTAGGGCAAGCGGTGCGGCTGGAGCCAGGAGCTGTCCGGCTCGAAGAGCAGCCTGAGCCCGGAGTTGCCACGAATCGACCGGGGATCTGATCAGGGATCCGGATGCATCATACACCTGAACATTGCCTTGTAAATGGTGGTCTCCCTTTATTTTGGTGGAAAAAGCCATGTTTCAAATGGGCAAAATGTATCTTTTAAGAAGCCCTGCTGATTCTGGCGAAAAGGTCATTCCTCAGGCTCGAGTTCACGTGACGACTGCTGTGGGCTTTTAGCTGGTGTCGAAGGTGGGCCAAAAAATCAGGACGAGGTGCCGAGCGAACTGGGGGCTTGAGCCACGGCAATTGACGGCGAAATCTCAGCTGACTGGTTGAAAAAGTCCGAGATTCGAGCTGGCGAAAAAGTGTTTGGGGGTGACTGCAGAGCTGCAGCAAGCCCCGAAAGTAAGGGCCCAATGGGGTCATGGGAGCAAATGAATGACCCGCGGGTTGATTAGAGTTCCCTTTCTCTGACAGGGATAGCTAGTGGATTCCCACTAGTTTCAAACAAAGTCGACTGGCACACAGCCAGATTGAGTAGCCGCAGCCTTTTGGAAAATTTCAGGGTGCTTGGTCTCCATGCAACCCTCTAGAGACTTCCAATCTCCACTGACCCTCCTATTGACGGAGCCTGAGACCTGGCTGTCGGTCCATCGAATCAGAATTGCCACAAGGGACCCGGGCAATATGGCGTTTCTCCTACAGGATGGGTGAGAGGTATGGTTTACTTCAAACCTGGGTGTGCTGGTGCCGGTCCTCAATGCACCAGGTTTCCCAAGAAAGGGAAAACATGGAACAGTGGCTGGAGAAAACCCTGCACCAAATGAAACGTCGCTCTTGGGGTTTCATCCACGCGAAATGGAATTCCTCCATCCACGTTCCAGCTGGCTGTCCTCAGATCCCCTGCCAGAAGCTTAACTTGGCTAAATGAAAACCCAACCACTCACCACTACATACTAAAAACAATTTGGTTGTTCTTTGTTCTTCCTTTTCCATGTTGCTTTGCTTTAAGTAAAACAGGGCATGGCTACAAAAGCGCCAAGATTCGAAACCGAAGCAGATCCAAATCTCAGTTCCTTGCCAGCGCTTCTCGCCCGCCAGCTGTGCCACAAAGTTCACCCCGTAGGCATCCTGATGGCACCTGCAGTCGGACCGCGCCCCAAAAAACGTAGGGGGCGGGCCGGTGGAAGCTGCGCTACCCCAAGTTTGCCCTGAAATAAGACGCCCTCCCACCAAATAACATGGAACAGTTCGATTTTTGTTCGGGGGGACCCCCCGAACGTCGAACGGTTCCGTGTTAATTGGGAGATACAGTGCTTCATGCTGACCACATCTTTGCAGAGTGCCTCTCCAAATGGATAACCCTTTTGCATGGCTGTTGGCAAACAGAAAGGAACCAACCATTTGGAGGTGGCCCAACTGCTGATACCAAGCATACCTTCCTGGCGGCACCTGCAGGCGTAACACTAGAGGACAAGCAAACTGTCCACATGCGCTCTGCTATTTGGGGGTTGATCAATATTCCGTTCGGTCCAAAAAAGACCCTGGGTATCTTTTCCCATGTGGTGAAAGTCATCTTGTTTGCGGCTTCCCCAATGGTCACCCCATGTATCACGGACCTTCTGCTCAACCCGCATTTGAGCTACGGTCAATTGCCATCGCAAATTCGAAGGCGTGCATGGCCGCCCGGCCTTCAACCCAAGAGATCGCGAAGATCATTCGCTCGGGCCTTTTCTATCTTCACGGTGAGGCGGCTTCGCAGAAGCGGCTCGGGCGTTATCTAGCGGCAAACGCAGGCACCTGTGACCTGCACTTGAGTGCAGGCGGACAGGTCCATGCCCCCCGCCAAGCATTAACTGGCAATGTGTCAAATTGGGGGATACCCTGCTCTGTGGCTGCTAAACAAGCATCCAGCTGAGGAGACTTACTTTTGAAGGACGTATAATTTCGACACGTTCCCAACTGGCGTCAAACTCTTTGAGTGACGCTGTTCTATCGCCTAGCTGGGTGAACGAACACCCTCAATTCCGGCCAAAGCACCTGGTGTTGCGATCCTGGCAACAACGGTGTGGGCACAAAGCAAGGCAAAGCAAGGTGCCCAACCGGATTTCCTTGACCATCAGGAAATCGTGACAAAACGAAGAATTACATCCTTTCGCAACTCAAGGGGTTCAGGCCAAGGTCGCCCGGGTTCGGTTCGGAGTTAAACTCGAGTTCTGAATCGTTGGTGGATATACAGGGAAACCAAAAGGAAAACCGCTGCGCCATGTTGGGGGTCCCCCTAAAAAAAGATCCTTCCCATGGTCTGTAGGCTTCGAATCGAGTCAAAGCCTTAGGGGGTGGGACAAGTAGCCGGTGCTCAAGGAGTATGTCAAAGCAAAACGCCTGGCAAATGGAGCCAAAGACCTGCGGTTTGGCCCAGCTCTTCAACTGTGAGCCACACCCACGTACTTATACGTATCAACTCGGCTGCTTTCTGCTCCCCTGCCAAAAGTTTAACTTTACGTGGCTTAGTGGAAAACTCAGTAGCCACCAGCCAAGCAAAATGCCCCAAAGCCAAGGTCCATCGGTTCGGGGCCCATGGGTAGCTGTGCCCGTACCCCCCGCCTCGCCGCATTTTGCTGGGTCTCCGTTTCATGGGTCTGGGAGGAGTTTCTGAGGGCGGAGGTTTGAAGCACAGCCGAAACATTGCGGCTGCTCAGTAGGGAACGAGAGAAATGGAACCCGGGGATTCCCTCAAAGGAAACCAGAGAAAAGGATGGCTGTTGTGGGGGTCACTCCAGCTATCTCATTCCCTGCATCTCTCGCACCAGCAAGAAAAGAGACACTTTTTCGGACAGTGATTCAGTTTCATTGTGCCTATCGCAGCAGCAAGAAAAATCCCTTGCCAAGCAAACCGATCCATCGATCCATCGATCGATCGAGAGCGCCCCGGGCCGTGGCGGTGGGGCTGGACATGGGGCTGCCGTCCCGCGTGGAGCGCGGACTCAGCCCGCTGCTCGGGGAGGCGGGGCTGGCCTCGGAAGGCATGGCGGGGGGGTGAGGGGGTGAGGGGGTGAGGGGGTGAGGGGGTGAGGGGGGGTGAGGGGGTGAGGGGGTGAGGGGGTGAGGGGGTGAGGGGGTGAGGGGGTGAGGGGGTGAGGGGGTGAGGGGGGAGGGACTGCAAAATGGGTTGGTCGTCCTTTTGACTTCTCTTTGAAACCATCCAACAAAAGGGGCGCCCTCCAAAAACAAAATGCCCAGATGTCCACTGAAGGGATGCGTCACAGCCAGTCCAGTTCTGATACCTTCACGCAAGGCATGGACCATGGAAGGCCCAATAGCAATGAGCATGTCATGAACTCGACAGGTGCAAACATGCACTCATTGAAATCGAATGCTAGTTTAGTTGGTCTCCCAATCGTAGCATTGCGTTGTCCGGAAGAGGCCGCAATGAAGCTTCCTTTGCTTGAAGATTAAAAGATTCTGCCTCAGCTGTATCCAGAACAATAATGGAAGGCAACAAATTTTACGGATGCGATCATGTGTGAGAAGCCACGCCCCACACACCCCACACACACACACACGCACATACACACAAGCAGATGTGCCCGATGAAGAGAGTTCACTTCTAAATCCACCAAGCCTTACCCAGGGATTCTCAAAGCATTGATATAGAAACCTGCTTGAACAAGTATGTGTGTCTGCCGATTGGCCCGCAAGCACGAGCTGAGCCGATGTTGTGCGGAAGAAACTGCCAACAAGGGCTCCCTGAGTCTCCCAATTGTTGGGCGCTCAAGGTGGGTTTTCAAGGTTGGAGGAGTCTTGGCTCGTCTTTGGAGGGTTCATGGGGTCGGTGTTGGATGAGTCATGAGCCTCAGAGTAGTAATATGATTGGGGGGGAGTACAAACTTTGCCGCAGAGAGGCGGTGGATACCTCGTTCTTGGGCATGTACGGGTTCTCCTTCAGGCAAACATGACATACCTGGGCTGTCCTCGAACAGAACAAATGGTTCTGATCATTCCCATGATTTTATTCGTCACCCATTTGTTTACTTCGGACTGATGCGGACTTGTCAAAGGAATTTCCTCCAAGATATCATTTCCCCGAGGCGGACAGCCTGATTGCTCTGGAGGGTTGGCGAACATTAAGCGGCTCGTCCCACGTATGTTTCCGCAAGGCAACCAAGTAGGCTCTCAAAGGCAGCTGGACATGGCTACTGCATCCGTTGCAGACGGGCCATGAGCTGTCCGTGACGCATCTGTGGCGTGCTTCGTCCTCATCATCTGGAGCATAACCGAAGTAATCCGTGCCGTAGCATTCCACGAAGCAGGTGGGGCACATGCCTGGTGAAAACGTTCCGGAACGCCTGTACCCTCATTTCTGCCCGAAAGTGGCCCCTAGGTAGAGGTAGCCTGACTACCATGGCATGTTTGGGACTGTTCCCCACTGAGCTTCATCTACCCAGGTTGGTTGTGGCTCAACTGCCTCCGTTGAGCAACACTCAAGTGCAGGCAATCACGCGCAAATGAATGTATGTGGGTGTTAAAATGGGAGCCCCACAGAAATGGTGGCTCTCCTCTTGGCTTCCAGTGAAACCATTCTAAGGGTACCCTCACAAAGCACGCATCCATATTATCTGAGCAACTAGCAAAGCTTCTCCATTCCAACGGTCAAAGGACCGCTGCTTGGTTTCCCTTAAGCTTCCCACACCTTTGGGGGGACCCTATCTTCTGTTGGAGGGAGCCAACCTATTTGAATTGCTTGTTTTGCAGGGAAGCCGAAGGAAACGAAACCCAACCATAGGTGGCCTTGTGGAAAAATAGATGGCCCTGGTAAATGGAATAAACCCGATCTAAACCAGAGCCCTCTATTCTTTAAGCAAACCAACCAAAAAGGACACCCATGAACCCAACGGTTATTTGGGTGACGCCAGTTCCGGAAGACAAAAAAAGAGATGACCCAAGGAGAAGATGGGACACGAGCCAATTGTGGTTGCCCCTCCTCCCGCCAGTTTGGGAAAGTTGGGCCGTGCCAACAGCTGATTTTGTCAGTTGCTATAGTTGCTCATTCTGAGCCACGGTCAAAACGTCAAAAAACCACTTGCTCCATGAAAAATTCGGAGACCCCCCATGTCCCTCCAAGATCCCACCGCAAGATCCCACCGGATTTTTTTTGTTTTTTCCGGACGAACTTTCGGACCAGGGGGCAGCCGTGGTGATGCCCCTTGGTGGCCGTCAGCCTTGCCAGAAGCCCGGCCTGCGCGATGATCCGGGCTGTGCGGCCGAAACCAAAAATGGGCCCAGCCCCCAACAGGGATCCGGAGGCATACACCTGAACATTGCAACTTGGAAATGGTGGTGTCCCTTTATGTTGTTGAAAAAGCAACATGCTTCGAATGGTTGCAAAATGTATCCTTTAAGGAGCCTGCCCAAGTTTGAGCACTCTGACGATGGTTTCAACCCCAGGTTAGCCACTCCATGGACTTTGGCCAGCTTGCAGCTTGTTGCCTTGACAGTCATCTCTTCTCCGTTCTTCTCCAGAGCTATGGTGATGATGCCTTGCCTCTTCCCTGGCAAGCAGAGTGAGTCTCCCATGGTAGAGCCCAATGTCTTTGAAAGTCCAACAAACGACAACCGTGCCTTTGGATCTGGAGAGTGGATGTTTGGTTGAGGGTACCTTTGCTGGCTTTGTGTTCGGTTGAAAGCAAAGGAACCCCACCCATTTTTGAGGGTACCATATCCCAGTTTGGGGGCAAACCCAGGTTGGGGCAAACCCCGTGTGCCCGCGTGAGGGGCAAAGCGGGCGCGTCAGTTGCACCTCTTCCCCCAAAAACCAGGTTGCATATGAGATGTGAGGACTCACGTGGGTGTGCCCACATCGGCGCTCCCACAAAATGTGTGCTTGCCTTGTTTTTCTCCAACTCAACCAAGCTGCAAAAGGGTGCGCTGAAAAACAAGGCAACCCCAATGATTTGCATCTCGCAGTTCGTTTCCTGTGTCAGGAAACCCAGAAAGCCAAACGCGGCTCGCTCCCCGCCCTCACCTGCCACTTGGCAACAAGATCCCCGCCCACTCGCCTGGGCCCATCACCTTGCCCGTTGTGACGTTGAAGTCCTGGCGACCACTTTGACAGCCTTACAGAAGCTCCGTGCCTATGGACTCGAGTGACTCGGACATATGTTGAGGGCGCCCCTTTTCGGATTGCTTGAATGCTAAACCAAGGGGAACCCGCACATTCTGGGAGAAAATTCAAAACCTGCTCGGGTGCGTGAGTTTACTCGGTGCCCTCACTGCACATGTGGGCTTCCATGTGACGCATATTTCCGCGGGGAACGTTGCGTGGGGTTTACGACGCGGCCAGGCGGACTGGTTCGACCCAACAACAAGGACGACAGCAGCAGCAGCAGCAGCAGCAGCAGCAGCAGCCGCAGCAGCAGCAGCAGCCGCAGCAGCAGCAGCAGCAGCAGCAGCAGCAGCAGCAGCAGCAGCAGCAGCAGCAGCAGCAGCAGCAGCAGCACCAACAACAGCAGCAGCAGCAGCAGCAGCAGCAGCAGCAGCAGCAGCAGCAGCAGCAGCAGCAGCAGCAGCGGCAGCGGCAACAGCAGCAGCAGCAGTAGCAGCAGCAGTAGCAGCAGCAGCAGCAACCGCAACAGCAACGATGACGACGACAAAGAAGAGAAAGAAAAGGAAGAAGCAGAAGCAGAAGAATCAGAAGAAACATAAATACAAGAAGAAAAAAGGAATAAGGCAAAGAAGAAAAAGAAGAAGACAAAGAACAAGAAGAAGCCAAAGAACAAGAACAAGAAGAAGAAGAAGAAGAAGACGAAAAAGAAAACACACTTCGACGCATCACTTGTGGTTTGCGGGCGCTGGGCGCTGCTTGCAACCAGGATTCATCTTTCAAGAGCGAAGCCCCAGAGAGTTCCTTGGCGCGGTGTGCAGAGCAAAACACCGGGCGCCCACTGACTCTCAAAATATGTAAGGCCTAGGATGGCCATGGTGAACATATCTTATAATTTTACAATGTTTGACTCAATGGAGAAAGTTCCTCCCCACAACTGGACCTCAAACCGGCTGGGATCGCTTCCCAAACCCCGGCTCGCGTGGGAGCCGGGTTTGCCGGCGACCATCTTGCGAAGCTTCTGAGAGGAGCTTGCACTTCAGGCGGACGCGGTCTCCCACGGTGAAGCCGCAGAGCCGGGGGTCCTTTGCTTCCGGCTCCTTCCTCAGCACTCACACGCATAGGCCGCATAGGCCCGCATAGGCATACCAAAGATTTGTTGCAGAACCGACTCCCTCAAAGATCAGAATCGGTCACCAAGGAATTTTCGACCATGGCCCGCTTTCCCTTTGATTTCCCTCCTTATCCTCGGCATTTGGGCTGGGGTGCTGGGGAGGCTCGGGCGAACCACGGCACGAGCTGGTGACTTGGGCAAGGTCCATTTTTCGAGTTGCCTTTCGGTGGGCAAATGATGTCCCCCAATAGCCTGGGCTTCGGAGTCCCATCTCACTCCGCCGACAAGGCGGAGTGCGGCTTCGGTGCGGCCGCGCCACCGCTCGATGAGATCGGACTCCTCCTTGATGATCAAGTAGAACTCCTGACAAAGCGACCCTCTGACAGGCGGCGCTGAGTCGCTTTCGGGCTGAGGGCTGTGAAGATCAGCAAGCCTGGAGTCATTTGCCCAACGCTGCTGAAGCTACAGGAAAGTGGTCGATCCACAGCAAGCAGATCAAGGCACCGATGGGTGAGCATCCCCTCCCAAATCTGTTCCACTCTTCCATATCTTACGCCCATTTGAATGCAATGCGCAACGTGGGGCCACCCAGCAACAAAGAATGGGATGACTGGACGCCACAACCATCAACTTTTTCAGGCACGCCTATCCAAGGGAAGATCGTGTAAGTGTTAGCTCCAAAACAGCATCCAAGCAACAACAGCGGATAGCAGTCCGCTATGAACAAAGGCTCTTGCCTGGCAAAGGCCTCTGTGGCTGAGGGAGTGGTTGCTGCGGTTTGTCAGTTCATCTTGCGCTCTCCACTTCTCAATTCGGTTCCTTGAATCTGCCTTTGTGGGCACCCGAGGTAAGTGAACATCCCACTAAAATGGATGGTGAATTCACCTACCCCAGAATGGGATCCCATTGGTTTTGACAACCACAGCCATATACCCATCTCAACCCAACGTAACGTCCCAACGTCTCCGAGAAGTCGATGCTGCCAGAGCCGTCGGCGTCGAAGCAGCGCAGCACCCCGTCCAGTTCGCTCGGGGACAGCGGGCAACCCAGGCGCCTCTGAAGCACAACGCGCAGCTCGAGAGGCGCAGCTTTGGAACTTGGGGGAAACTCAGACGCCCAGTGGATTTCCATGGGACAAAATTGGTTGCGTTTAAAGGGAACCCTTCCCAAGAAAAGGAAAAAGAGCACCACTTGGCAACTTGGAGAAGGATTTGAAGAAATGGAGGTTGATCAAAAAAGGTCCGTGATACATGGGGTGACCATTAGTTGGCAACCACCAAAACAGAGGACTTTCACCACTAGGGAAAAGTTACGTGGTCATTTTGGGGCCAGAAATACTGATCAACGCCCAAATATCCCCTAGACAAGCAGACAACCTGAACAAATGCTATGTAACCCCTCCTGACCAAGAATCTGCGTGAGGATTCCTGAAAGACCTCTTCAAACACGACTCTCTGGCTCCACTGGGTTTGGGAAATGCCACGCCTCAACGCTGCCGCCATCTCACCCCGAGTGAGGATACCATCGCCGTTCTGCGCACGACAGGTCGACCAATGCATCGGAACCAATGGGGGGCAAGCTACCACGAAACTGCCAGCGGAATTTGGGGTGCCGGGTTCCGTCGCCAGTGAAGTCTACGCGTTGACAATGACCGCCCTCAAGATGCGCCTGATCGATTTCGTGGAACAGCTCAAGCTCCGACAAGTTCTGATCCTCCGGCCAAAGGCGATCATTTTTGACGCGCTTCTGTTTGGGTGTAATTCGGTGTGGGCGTCCCGCACCCACCCAGTTTGCTGACAAACCATACCCTTGTATGTGTGAATATCATCTGATCAGTAAGGGTATACCAAACCAGGCGTACATGGCGACAGTCCTTGAATAAACTGCCAGCTGGCAAGCATCTGGGGCAAACCTAGCACACTACAGCCATCAACCGCCATCTCCTCGATGTGTTGGATCAAACCTTGGGATGGCAAAGACCTTCAAAGGCAAGCAATCCTCCAACCACGAAGGCAACTCCGGGATGAGTATCATTTACATGGGGTGTTGTGTGCACCCACCGCTTTTCCAGATGCCGCCTATCGGAATTCACACCCGTTTGAAAACATGTACATGCCCGTTGTCCTTACAACAAGATGCCACTGGTAGACGACTTGAGCTAATCTGAACCCATGGAAGCTATCCAGAAAGATCGTCGGGACGCACAAACGTGGCGGTTTGTCTAAGCCAAGGTGCTGTCTAGGGCCGTCTTCAAGGGAGACTTGCTCTTCAATTCGTCCAACTTCCTCGGCTGCGCCGTCCGGTCTTGTGGGAAGCAAGATGCCAATGTCCAAACTTGCTGGCCAAGCAATCATGAATTCGTTGATTCACGGGCCAACCTGGATGAGAGCCCGGGGCAAAGAACAGGGTTCCAGTTCCTGAAATGCAGATCAAACCGGTGGATTGATGCCCATCCCCGAACAGGACTATTTCTCGGGGGCCTCTCTCTGTGAGCCATTCACTTTTTCCAAGCCAAGGTGCTCCTGCCGCGCAAGCTGCATCTGCTCCGCCTATGTGTGGACCCCCCGCCCCTCCGGCACCCGGCAGACCCGCGTCACTCAGCCCCAAACCCGTCTCCGTTGGCTCCGTTTGGAGCAGCTTTCGTCTGTATCCCAAACGGCCAAGTCCGTCCAAGCAGCCCAAGCCATCTACATTCTAGGGTAAAATGGACCATTCAGCCGGCCAGACACACACGGCAGACTCTGAACTACTTCCTTCACATGCGCTGCTCCGTTCTGACTGCGCCGAGGCGGGAAAAAGAGGAGCGGCTCCAATCAACCGCTCTCCCAAAAGTTGTCCGGAGACTCCTTTTTAACGTCACCAAACCAACTCTCGAGGGTTGGAGGGAGGGACTTGCGAACCCTGATCTCGCCTGAATCTCCGCCGGGGTCTTCTGATCCCGCCTCTTCTGCGCCTTTTCCCTGCCGGAAACACCCCGTGCACGACTGGGAACCCCCACAATCTTCTATGAACACGTGGTTTGAGGAAAGCATAGAAGGACAGAAGGCACCTTTGATGTGATGGACGAAGTCCGTTCGCACCAATTTGCAACTATGGTTGAAACCATAGTTTGTTGGTTTTACAGGGGAATCGAATCATTCCAGAGTTTCTGAACGGTGGTGCGAAATGGAGTTGTTGACTGGCGTGGTGACGACAAGGGCGGCTGGTCTCCAGAGCAGGTGGAAAGAAAGGAAGGAAGGAACAAAGAAAGAAAAACAAACAAACAGAAACAGGAAAAACACACAAAGAACAACATGCAGGGCAGGGAAGGGCAGTGCAGGCAGGAACAAAGAGCAAAACAAAATAAAGAAAGCGAACATATGTTGTTTTGTGCTCCACCATGCTGCATCCAAGAAGCAATTGCTTCTGGGCCGTCTGTGCATGCCTGAGCTTGCTGAGCGCACACACGCACACACACACGTGTATATATATATATATATACATATATGTGTGTGCATGTATGCACCCCCCCCCCTCCCTTAAAAAAAAGGAAGTCAAGTCATTTTAGGTGGGCGTGGGCTCATTTTACAATGTGGGCAAACTTGCGCAGATGATTCATGAAGCCTTTGCCATCCATTTGAAAAGAATGTGCTTCTACTTTCTGAAGCATGTTTGTGTCTTTCCTCCTTTAAATTCTGGTCCAATCATTTCATGCATCTTCTGGTCAACTCTAAATGTATTTCAAGACAAGTCAATTTGAACATAGCAGCGTCAGAAGCAAAGGTAGGTAAAGGGTAAAATCGAAGTTAGGTGAAGCATTCTAATACACAGGGTCTAAGCCATATTATTTCAAACATACATCTCTGAAGTTTTGAACACGTCAGTCAAGAATATAACATCTGCTTTCGCAGAAGTCGTGATGTTCTCTATTGTTTTGCTGTTAAAATGCGTCCAGAACAATTTTGCTTTTCATAATCTCCATCACTAATGCAAAGAGTATCAACAATAAAGCAAACAATGCAGCTTCTGCTTCGCCTACGCATCTTCGATTTCTCATGTCAATTGATGTGCAAATTGTGCCAATACCTGCTACGCATCTTCCATCTCTCATCTCAACTCCCCCTTCGACTGTCAGCTCACAAACCTTGGCCAATACAAATAAAAGAAGCGTCTGCTCAAATTTATATGCCTTGACCGATGCAGAATGCCACGCTGTCTGCTAAAACAACTAACTTCCCTGAACGAAAAGTACTGCACAAATCTACTATGCACCACACAGGTATTTGCAGTGTTTTTTTCAATATCCAAGGGCTGGCGTAGATTTCTTTGAATCATTTTCCTACGATTTAGATATCCAATGTCCATACGCTGAACTATCAACTACGTAAACCGCACACAATTCCAAAATAATGATAAGGTGCACAACCAAACATGAATGACTGAAGGCAGACCTGTTCGGCGCTGTAAAGCGCTTTCGGATCTAACATTCAACATTCGCAGGACTATGGTTCTTGAATCTTGAGCCCAGTATAAAACGCGTTAAAGCGCTTCAAAGCACTTTTGGATCCCAGATTCAAGATTCCCAGGACTCTAGATCTTGAATCTTGAATCCAGCCTGGGGCCCCTTAAACGCTTTAAAGCGCTTGAAAGCCCTTTTGGATTCAAGATTCAAGATTCCCATCACTCTAGATCTCGAATCTTGAATCCAGTATGGGGGCGTTCATCCAGGTAGCTCGTGGATTCAAGATTCAAGACCAAGAGTGATGGCATAGGGGCCCCAATCTTGAATCTGGAGTGATGGGAATCTTGAATCCTTAAAGCGCTTGAAAGCATTCTAGGCGGATAGAGGTGCAGTCAGATGTGCAAATGCAGACATAGTGAAAAGGTCAATATTGGGGGGCTTTAGGTGCCTGAAAAGAGGGTGGAAATCACCCAAAAGTACTGTAAATACTGTCAAATTCTCTTGGGGTGTTTCCTTTTTTTTTGGGGGTGGGGGGGGGGGTCGGGAGGGTACCATATAGATGTATGTATATTATATTTATATATTCACACACGTCCACCTTCACACCCATGCACCCATGCACCCATGCACCCATGCACCCATGCACCCATGCACCCATGCACACACCCACCCACCCACCCACCCACCCACCCACCCACCCACCCACCCACCCACCCACCCACCCACCCACCCACCCACCCACCCACCCACCCACCCACCCCCACCCACCCACCCACCCACCCACCCACCCACCCACCCACCCACCCACCCACACAACATATATATATATATATATGGTCCCGTGTTCCGTGTTGCTACCCCCCCCCCCCCGGGCCCGAGACCCCGAGCCCCCGGATCCTGGCACCTACGGTCCCACCCCCACCCCGACCCCCTGAACTCGCACCCAGAAACCCCGGCACCCCCACCCCCAGGACAAGCCAACCCGCAACTAACCATAAACCAACCCTAAACTATCCCTAAACCAACCCTAAATACACCCTAAACCAAACCCTAAACCGTAGACCTCTAAACCTAAACCAACCCTAAATCAACATAAACCAACCCTAAACTAACCCTAAACCAACCCTAAACTAACCCCAAATACACCCTAAACCAATCCCTAAACAATAAACCCTAAACCTAAACCAACCCTAAACCAACCCTAAATACACCCTAAACCAAACCCTAAACCGTACACCTCTAAACCTAAACCAACCCTAAACCATCCCTAAATCAACATAAATCAACCCTGAACCAACCCTAAACTACCCTAAATACACCCTAAATATACCCTAAACCAATTCTAAACCAACCCTAAACCACCACAACCCAACCACAGGACCACAACCACAGGGGGGGGGGGGGTACTTGTCTGACCCATGACCATTGGGGGGGAGGGGGGGGGGGGGCTGGCAACGCTGTACCATATATATATATATATATGTATAGCACGTGTGCATAATATACGTGTATATTAATATATATATATATATATGTATATATGTATATATATATATATATACACATTTGTGTGCGCAGGCGGCTGCGCGCTCAGGTACGCTTGCGCGCCTGCACACAAGTCAGACAAACATGCAGTGAAGCCAGCCCGTTTCCTGGCCAAGACAGTATGGTTCTGGAGGTACAAAGCAATCTTAGCTCTTGGCACCAAAGTCTTACTCGATGCGGACAAGGCGCTGGTTCTTCTTGATGTTGCAAGGTGGGTTGCCCTGGTAGCCATTGGCTTTCCAGCACTGGTCGCAGCCATCTTCGAAGCCCTGTGCACCGGTGCACCGTGCAGGTTGTGGCGAACTCTGGGCACCCATGAAAACGCTCATTGGAGTCAAAGTCAAAACCCGGCATTGAAAAAGTCTACCCAGAACCATGTAAAGAATTAAGAAGGCGGCCGCAACTATTTCTGGCTGGGACTGCCCCTTACTAACCTTCATCTACCGGGCTTTGATTGTGGCTCATTGAGGGACGAAGGTTCACTCACTGGTCGCCTAACGTTGTCGCTTGCCAGCGTGCGGAATTTGAGCCTAGGCACGCCGCCGGGGAGCATGAGGTTCTGAATCACACCGCCACCTGAGTGGCGGACGATGAACGGAAGCCGTTGGCAGCAACTGAGAAAGAACCCTTCCCTTTCTGCTTGCCTCTTTTGTCCACCTCGCCAAGCCAGGAGATGGAAAAATAGCAGGAGCGACGAAAGAAATAGAAAAAGATGGCATCTTGGCTCACTTTTCATGGAGGCTGCGGCCAGTTCTTCCCAGGCCGTTCAGGCCGAAGGTACGCGAGTCCGACGGAAGCCTCTAAATGAGCTCTGAGCCAAGCGCAGTCTGCGCAGATCTTCATCTTCGCCGCTTTCTTGTTTCTGGACCGGCCCTGG